GAGGCTCGATCGGATCGGGAATGTTGGGTTTATGTTTTCGGGTTGTACGAGGTTTTCGTGTGGTTCCCGCTATCATGATCTGAAATATTGGTGTTGGTGTCATGTGGTTGTGCCCGTTTCTGTCCGTATGTATATGTATGTGTTATATATATATATATATATATAAATATATTTATATATATACAGAGTATGTCAGTGGTATCTGTGTATATATATATATACATGCACACATACATATGCATAATTATATTATCATATATACATGTATATATATATATATACATATATATGTATGCATATACACGTAGAAACCTCTGCGTGTGTGTTACACATCTATAAGCGGAACACATCTACCTTCATATCGCATGCATGCTTGCACGTGGAATGGTTAAAACCATAAGTATATACCCAATTATAGCCTTTGTTTTTTTCGGCTGTCCTGCATGCAGGATGACAAGAGAGCGTCAAAGCCGAGCCCGCGCCGGGACACGCCATCGGCTGGTTTGCTATGTTATGTTTTACTGTCATATCTGTCATCAGTTGCATTAGATTACATTTACACTATGTATATATATATATATATCCTCTGGTTACCGTACACCGTACTGTATATCAGTAGTAATCAATCCATACCTATGGACCTGCCATTTATATATGTATATAAATGTGTATATATATATATATATATATGTATGCATACACTCACAAATTACGTCTGGTCTTTCTTTCGTGTGTGTAGGTATTTTATGCATATCCCCTGAAGAGTGATGCTGTATTGCAGTAATGCCGAATCTCATTGTGTTGTTGCGAAAAACATAATGCTGATCACGAATATATATATATACATTTATATATGTTGTATTCATATCTATGTATATATATATATATGCCGTATGATGATATGCTCTAGTAAAGCTAACATAGTCCTATAGGAGTAGGGTAGAGTATAGCGACGTAAGTGAACAGGCTCGGGTGAGCTAGGCGATGGTTTGGGAAGGGGGCACGTGCGATTCGGGATTCGGTCCTTACATCTCTGCTCATACAACATGGCACAGCATATGCCTAGTCTGGGAGGACCAGCCCTCTTTGACACCGGAGCAGAAGAAAGAGTAGAAGAAGCAGCAAAAGAAGCAAGAGAAGCAAGCAAAGAAGGCCGCGAAGGCTGCGAAGGAGGAGCGCAGCGAAAAGGAAGCAAGCCAGGAAGCGAAGAAGGAGCACAGCGAAAAGGGAGCAAGCCACGAAGCGAAGAAGGAGCGAACCGAAAAGGCAGGGGTGATTTCAACTTCAAGAAGTGTATGATGAGTGATATAATTAAAGTAGTGACGATCCTTGTGCTTGCTCAAGCTTGTTTTTATGAAACAACAACGCGGTTTTTATGCAACTCCTTTTGTTTGCGGTTGACACTCCTTTCACAACAGCTGTCGGCCCAATGAGCAACATGTCGAAGCACATGTTTTCGCAAAGACTTTACCAACGTGGGTGGTGTTTCACGAACATGATGAGTCATTTGATTCACGTGGTTTTCAGCATGCATTGTTTTGCAATTGGCAGTTTTATCTCTTTCATACAACAACACCTTCACGTGAGGGTGCATGGGCCGTGGATCCCCCTGAGGGGTCATCGCATGCAGCCGGACTCTGAGTCCGAGACCAGTGCCGGTGGCTCCTTTGTGCACAGAGACGACCTTCGCCTGTTAGAAGAGTCATTTCAAGATCAGCTAGCTTCGCTTCAGTTGCGTGTGACGGTCCTGGAGAGCCGCCTGCACCCGACAAACTTAGAGGGAGCTCTTGCCGCATCCAGTGTTTCCAGTGCTGAGTCTGAGTTTGAGCCCAGCCTGGAGGATCTCGTGGCAGCTTATCCGAGAGTCATCCCGCGTGTGTGGGGCTTCTTGCAAGCTTCAGATCGCCGCGCATTGCTCGTGGCCTCGTGGTACATGCATACAGGTGCTAGACGAGAGTTGCTCAAAGACGCCTTTTTGCACGGATGGCCCTGCCCATCGCCTCCTCGAGCCCTAAGCCTTCCCGAGAGCCCGAGTGTGATTCAATGGATGCAGAATTGGTTTCATCGTTGCCGGGCGCTGATGCAGGTACTCCCTTAACTGCGAGAGGGCCGGAACTTAGTGGTGCCTGCACTTTGGGGATTAGTGGTTCTACAGACATGCCGGACCCAGCTCCCGCCTCGGCGGGCCACCAACACACGGATTCGGCATTCGAGCGTCATTTGCAGGGGTTGATCGAAAGTGTGGACTCTCCTGCAAAGTCGTCTGTGGGTTCATTCGAGTTAGTAGAGAGTCATTCGCCAGTGATTGTGAAGAGGTATAAGAACAGTAGACACTCGCAGTCAGTGCAGAATGTGCATGGAAGTCTGCCTGGCCCAGTGCTTCCTTTGCAAGGGGTGCCACGGCCACCCACGTCAGTGCCGGGGCCTAGGAGGCTCAGCGAGCCCAGTCGTAGGCCTTTCGTGCCCCGGGTTGCCGCAGCACCACTACATAATCCGGTTCCACGCCCGAGGTTTAGTCGTGTAGGCTTGGAGTGTAGTCCTTTACCAAACCCTGTTCCCCTCAGGGCAGCTGATTATCACAGGCCTCGGCCCTTGGAGACGTCCAATACGTTGGAGATCAGTGCACCTTCTGCTGTCTTGCACAGGGAGCGGACCCCGGCCCCCAGAAGTTGTGCTAAGGCTAGTGTAGATTTTGGTTTGGGTGTTCGTTTTCCAGCTCAGTCGAATGATGCACCGGCTCTGGGTTTCAGCTCGATCAATGACGGTCATGCCAAGCAGTTTGAGCAGGGCAAGATCATCTGGGAAATGCTCAGGCCCCGGCTGCTCCCAATCTCAGATTGCCTTGCCGACTTGTCAGGTTCCTTTCACGGCAATGTGCTTGAGCACCGCATCCTTAGCAGTGTGGCGGAGACGACTCTTGTGCGTTACCTCAGTGCTGTCAGGCATTTCATTGAATCTTTGGAGTGCTTGGGGGTGCCGGTGTCGGATAAGGTCCGGCAGGTGGATGTTGCTGACGCTTTGCTGGTCATGCATAAAGGGGGCAGCCAAGTAGGCAACAGTCTTAAGGCGATCCGTTGGGCACGCAAGGCACTCGCTCTCCGCCTTCCGGATTTGTATTCAGGCATCATGTTGAACATCTCCGGAAAAATCGAGGCAGACCGAAAGGAAGCTCTTCCGCTTCCCATGTTTGTACTGGGACTTCTTGAAAGGAGCTTGCTTTTGGCAGAGGGCTCCGTGCAACACCGCTTATTCGTAGGCGCGGTATTGGTCTGTTGTTGGAGCAGTCTTCGTCTCAGCGATGCTCAACACACCAAATGGACTTCGCTTCAGTCCGGCTCCTGGTGCTTGCGGGGAGTGAACTTCCGCACTAAGGTTAGTCGTAGAGGGGTCCCTTTCGGTCTGATAACACAGGGCATTTATGGTTTCAAGCGCGAGTTCACACGCACTTGGGTGGCAAAGTACCTCTCTCTTTTGGGTGAGGAATGGGATGCAGTGGCCAGTCGATTTGGAGATGTGACGCCAGACTGTCTGTTCTTCAGAAGCACCGATTCGGAGTTTGCTCCCATGTCATACGGGGAAGTGCTGTCGGCGCTTCGCTGTACCTTGATTTCTCTCGGTTTGAGTGCTGAGGAGGCACGTGACTTCACTGTGCACAGCATGAAAGCATGTTTACTTGCTGTGATGGCACAGAGAGGCTTCAGAACCTCGCGCCGTGAAGCGCAAGGACACCACCAACCGTCGGGCAGGAGTGCCCGACTTTATTCACGGGACGATATCTGGCCGGCACTAGAAGCTCAACGAGCCCTTGTGCAGTCGCTTCGCTCGGGGTGGATGCCGAGTACGCCTCTGGGGCGTGGGGGTCAACATCCTACCCCCCAACGACCTTTTGTTCATGTGAATGTCCCTAGTGAACCATCGCCTGTGCACCCCAGGTTCCCGCTTTTGGATGTGTTTCCACCTGAGGTCTCTCATGAGGCGTTGCAGGTCGATAGGGACGAGTCCCAGGCAGCAGGCATTAGTGACATGCAGGCTCCCACGTTGGAGGCCTCTTTATCCTCATCCAGTGAGTCGGAGCAGGATGCTGGCACTTCAGGTTCGGTTCGGCGTTCCAGTGTGGCCATCTCAGCCACTGTCCAGCCTGAGGAGTGCGATGAATTTTTGTTCTTGCAGGGGGCTTCAGGTACAGTCCACGTGGCAGCACCTCAGGAAGGTGCATCGGGAACGGCGGCTTCTGCTGACGGGCACACTGCCCACCTTAGGCCACGGTGTGGAGCCTTGGCCAAGTCGTTTGCAGTTTTGTCGACCGTGCCGGTAGGGGCACGCCTTTGCATGCACGTCGCATGCAGGCGAGTTTTGGAGCTTTAGAGCTGTTTGGGCAGCACGTAAAAAATCAAATCGCCATTGCATACTTGGAACAGGGAAACACTTGGGACATGCAGCATGCAGGATTGTCACTGAACATGTTTCGTGGCAGCTTTAACGGGCCCTCAGCTCGGCGGCGGGATCAAGCTGGTCTTGAGGAGCAGGCGGGGAAACTGCTTTCCATTCGTGTCAAGATTGGCCGGGAGTTGATCCGCACGTGTGTGCTCGCCGCGGCAATGCGGCATGTCGGTTCGATATGGGCTTGCCGATTTGCTGATGGGTTTCAGTCGGCTGCAATATGTGGGTTTGAAACCCAGGCTGTGGAAGGGGCTGTGCATGGTTCGCACAGCAGGTGTAGGCGCCAGTGCTGGCAGACCTGATCGCACGTGTGTGCCAGTCCGTCATCCAAGACGGTCATGAAATGCGGAGGGCGTCCCCCCCCTGGTTGTATCACCTTCAAGTAAAGGGCATGGCGATTGCAGCCAAGGGGATATGCTACTACCGGGCATACAAGTCCTTCGGAAACCTGGCAGCCGTGTGGCCAATCGCACGTGTGTGCAGCGGGCAGGGGCTACTGCTGCCGATCGTTCATCGATTGCAATTTCAACCTGTCTGTCTGCACCTCGCTTCAGGCGTCCATGGCTAACGTGGATGCGGCGCTTTTGGAGCTTGCCGTTGCATGCAGAGTACCGCAGGAGTTCCACTTCGTGCTGGATGGTTATGACGTGCCGCTGTTTGGTTGCCTAGCAGCCTCACATTCGGAAGTCGATGCCTCAATCGAGATACTGCTGGAGGGGGCCGCCTTGCCTGCAGAGTCTACTGAGAAACTACGTCTCATGTCATCCTTCCGTCTGCTGTTTCAGAAGTGTCAGTCTGTGACGGCAACGGGTTCATCTGCGGGGAGTGCGGCCCATGCAAGCATGACATCCAATGCAGCCTCATGGGTAGACTCTTTCCCGGCTAAATTGACAGGTGAGGAGGTGGTGAAACTCCGCCTTGAGTTCGAGGCTTCGTACCCAGGAGAGGTCTTGGATGCGGATAACACCCCAGGTCACCGGCTGTTAGCGTTGGCCGCAAAGCTTGTTAAACCAGGTGAGATGCGGTGGGTGGCTTGGAAGCATCGGATGAGCAAATCCCAAGAGGAGTCTTTCGCTCTGCGCAGGCCGGCAAAAATCCCAAGGTTGGAAGAGCTGGTGTACGACGAGATACCTTCAAGAGAGCTACCTCAAGGCCAAGTCGGCATGACCTTTCTGCAGGGCATATTGGGTCTTTTATGCATATCGCTCGCCTTCGTTAAGGGGGCTCACCTTCAGAGCCTGCGGCTTTACGAGCGCAAGTTCATCCGCCTGGCCTGCCAGCGGCATGAGGCATCTTCGGGGCTCCGAAGCCCGAATATGGAGGAGCTTCAGGCGGCAGACAAGCACATTTGGGGCTTGATCGCGGATTTGGTCAATGTCCACAAGTGGAGCCTGAATGATGCACTGACGGAGGTAGTGCAAGTTCGCGGTGACTTGGCCGCTATGTTGCAACCTCGCAGCCAAATCTTGAGGATCAACAGGCAGCCTTTCAAAGGCAATGGCAAGGGGAAAGACTCCCCGGGCGGTAAGAACGGCAAAGGCAACAAGGGCAATGGCACCAACAGTCAACGCTGGATGCTTTCTTACACGGACTCCAAGGGTCAGCGCAAACAATTGTGCCGTGGTTACAGTTCTCCAGACGGATGCAAGTTTGAGAACTGTAAATTCGAGCATCTCTGCCCGGTTCCCGGCCCAGATGGAAAGCCGTGCCTAGGGAAGCATCCTGCTTTCCAACACCGCAAAATCTGAAGGTCACAGTCGGTGGCGGAACACTCCGATGTGCGGACTGGTCGATCCAGCGAAATTCCGTCGCCGACTGCAGCGGATTTTTCTTGGGAAGCTTGCTTGGCTATCCTGCAGACTCACTGTTTGGGTGATGTTCCTCTCTACCGAGACACAGTTCTTGCAGGTGCGCGATCTCGAGCACAGTATTTCAATTTTGGGGCGAGAGCGGGCTCCAATGCGGGGCTTTGCAAAGGCACAGCAGAAAACGCAGAATTCGTTGAGTATCTGAACATTTTCCTTCGGCAGATTTTTCCAGACGGCACATGGTCCAGTTTTTGTGTCAGTCACAATGAGTTCGCTCATATCCACGTGGATAAGAACCTTCCGGGATCCTTGAACTATTCGTTCAGTGTTGGTGCTTTTGAGAAAGGCGGTTTGTGGGTGGCTTTGCCGCCAGACGAACTTCCTCACCTTCCGCGAGTGCCTCCGCCGGACACATCAGCTGATTCCTCGCTGTTGGGTTGCATAATTCAGACCAGGAGGTGTGGTTTTTCTTGGGATGGCCGCATTGCTCACTGTTCGGAGCCATGGGTTGGCGACAGATGGGTCGTGACGGCCGATACTTCTTGCACTTGGGGTTCAATGCCTGAGTCGGATCTTCGCTCTCTACGGGATCTTATGTTTCCGCTTCCAGGCGACGCCATGATGGTCGACGAGGTGGAGTGTGTGTCTCGGGCTGCCAAAATTGACCAGGCTCAGCTGGGGCTACCGGTGGCAGTCATGCCTCCCGACCTTGACGCAATTCGCGGAAATCTTTTTCTAGAGATCTGTTCTGGGCCAAATCGGCCTCTGTCTGCTGCCCTCCTGGAGAAAGGTGTTTCAGTGCTTTCGATCGACATTCTTTTGCATGAGGATCACAACTTGTTGAATGACTCCACTTATGACAGTCTCATGCGGCTATGCTACAGTGGACAGGTGAATCTGGCACACGCATCTCCACCTTGCACAGAGTACTCCAGGCTGAAGCTCCGGGCGGATGGTGGCCCCAGGGCGATTCGCACTCCAGAACACATGTCTGGCATTCCTGATTTGAGTCCGTCAGAGAGGCAACGTCTGGAGCAAAGCAAAAAAGTGCTGGTTCGTACAATCAATTTGCTGCTGGCAACATACTGTGCTGGCGGGCATGTTAGTCTGGAGAACCCTTTGAACAGCATGGCATGGTTGGAGCAGGAAGTCCGAGAATTTCTGCAACACATCAACGCGGACCTGAACTGTGTGGCTGCTTGTGGCTATGGTATGAATGTACTGAAGCAGTGGTGTTTCGCATGCAGTTTTCGGGATCTCCAGCGGATTGCATGTAGTTGTCAACATGATCCTCAGTCGCATGCACAGGTGGCAGGAATTGTTGACAAAGACGGCGTTTACGCTTCAAGAGCCACATCGGAGTTTCCGGCACAGCTCGCACAGGCCTATGCAGAAGCTGTTCTTCCTTTGTTCGAGACCTCGAGCAAGCCGTACACCATTTCTCTTGAACAGGTTAGGTTTCTTCGAATTCACAAAACCAAGGAGGAACTTCCCCGAAGCACACAGGACGGTGGTGGGATCTACTCAATGCCGGATTGGAGTTTTCCTCCGAGCGGCTGCAAGGACCTCCTAGGGGGAGTGCGTAAGCAGCTTGTGGAGTACCTTTTCCACATCAAGGCCCCATTGCGATTGCGCGCCCATGTGGAGTCCGAAAGCGATCTCCCGCTGTTCACAGAGAATGAGGTTCGGCAATTCAGGGAGATCTGGCAGCAATGGTTCACACAACAGGGTGTGCAATCAATCGATTGGAGCGTGCCTGAACATCAACCTTACTCGCTGCTGGCCTTACAAAGTCTCTCTCGAGCCTTGCAAGATAGAGATGATGAACTCTTTCCAGCATTGATTGCGGGGGTTCCCACAGGTTTCTTCTCGGATATCCCGCCCAGTCACGTTTTCGTTCCGAAGCACAAGGATGACTCTTCCGAAACCCCGGCGGAGCTTGTGATCTGCGATCGCAATTGGAAGGGGGCCAGAGAAAATCCTAGAATCCTTTGTGAATTGATTGATAAGGAAATTTCAGAGGGTTTTTTGGAAGAGCTTGATCTTGCTTCAGCTCAGCAGCGCTGGGAGAACATCGCAGTTGCCAAGCTCAACGTGGTTTTGGCGGACAACCGCAAGCCGCGCTTAATTATGGATGGGACTGTCTCAGGCGTCAACTCCTCTTGCTTCTTGAATGAGCGATACAGTCTGCCATCGCTTAAGGACGTGCGCTCTGCATTCCCACTACGCATGAACAACGAGGACTTGTCAGCTTTCAGCTTGGACATTCGCGCGGCTCACAAAACGATTCGCATTCGGGAGAAGGACCGGGGATTGGCGGGGATCAAGCTTGAAGACGGTCGACACCTGTGGTACCGAGTTTGCCCATTCGGCACAGGTTTCAGTGCTCTGTGGTGGGCACGATTGTCCGCTTTCATGATCCGAACCTTTCATCTCTTGATCTGGTTGTGTCACGCTTTAGGCATCTTCGTCGACGATCTATTGCTTTGGCAGGGCGACAAAGCAATCGAGATTTCAGGTTGCCTCATCCTCAGCTTTTGCCAAGCATACAATGTGCCGCTATCGTGGCACAAACTGCAGTGCGGGTACAAAGTGAAGTGGATAGGATGGCTATTCAATTTCAGATCAGGGACTTTCAGTTTGCCAACGGACAAGATTGAAAAAATTCTTCGTTCGGTGAGGGTTGTTCTGCGGCCAGGCAACGTGGATCGCTGCGATCTTGAAAAAACTGTGGGTCTGCTTCAGTGGGTAAGCCAGATTTCTCCTGAACTCCGCCCCTGGATGGCATTCTTGTATTCGGATCTGCATAGACCGGTGGCAACAAACCATCATGTGGATTCTGGCGAGTGGCACTTGCTGCATGAGTACTTGGATGATAACCTGCGGTTCACCAGCCAACCTCCGGGCACAGCTATTCCACGAGGTGCTCGTCTTTTGTCTGCCAGGCACATTGAGCTGCACTCCAAGCAGGACTTGAACAAAGTTCCTCTGACTTCACGTCGGATATATATGCGTATCTCCGATCCCAAACATCCCAAGCGCAAGATTTCGGAATGCAGCCGCAAGTTCATGGAATTTTGGGAATCGTGGTGCATGCGCAGCCCATTGGAGCAGTGCCTGCACCTTCCTCCACGGAGCATTGCCTGCACCTTGGCGGCGGATGCTTGTGCTCAGGGTTCTTCTATCGGGATAGGTGGTTTTCTTCGTGTTGAGGGCTCACCCGTCTTGTGGTTCAGCGAGCGATTTGAGAAGTCGGATTTCGATGACTTGAACATCCCTCTCGACAACAACACTCAGAAGAATATTGGATGCTGGGAGCTCCTGGCTCAGATTGCTCTGGCACTTCTTTTCGCAGAGACTTGCCCGGGAGGACGATGCAGGCTTCAGCTGCGTACTTTCTGCGACAATGCCTCTGCACAGGCATCGGCAAATCGTTTGATGACTACGTCATCCCCGCTCTGCTTTTTCGCTCAGCAACTGGCTTTTGTCGCTTTTAGACACGGGATTACCCTGGACGTGCACCACATTTCGGGCTTCCGCAACGAGGAGGCAGATTACCTGTCCCGCTGGAACGGCACGGACCCTCTGTTGCCCGAGTTCGCTGAAACCTTTCGCTATCGCTACCCAGTCAAGCGCATGTGGCAGTCTGACCATGATGTGAGAGTGTTCCCGACGGGCACTCGGCTCCTGTGGAGTCCTCCGTGAAGGCAGCCATTCAGTCGTAGCACGATTTCAATTGGGGCTCTTGTCCCAGCGCTCCTCCTTCTTTGGCTGTGGCAGTTCTTAAGGGGGGATGCATCTTGATAAGTCCGATACTTTGGTATCTTACTTACTCGAGTGCTTTCCACCACAGCCAAAAAGAAGGAGGGGTCCGAGTGCAGTCTCTGTAGTTCGTTCGCGAGACCGGATGAATATTTCATAAATTCATACTTTATATTTTATTGATTCTGGAATATATATCCTCGGATTTTCTTTATGATATTTGAAAGCTTTGCTTACCGAATATCTGGTCCATTTCCATCGTGGTGTGCCGACGGCTGTTGTGAAATATAAAACGATCCTTGTGCTTGCTCAAGCTTGTTTTTATGAAACAACAACGCGGTTTTTATGCAACTCCTTTTGTTTGCGGTTGAGACTCCTTTCACAACAGCTGTCGGCCCAATGAGCAACATGTCGAAGCACATGTTTTCGCAAAGACCCCACCCTCCCACCCATGAGCAGTGTGTGCTCATGTGGTCTTTGTTGCATGCGTGGTACTCTTTCTCTTTCGCGCCTGCCAGGCATACCTGTGTGTGCGCCATTATTTTCACCAGGCTTCACGTGTGTGAGGCGGTTGTGCTGCTGCAGCAGTCTCTTACAACCATTGAGGTGGTGAGTAAACTAGTCACTACGAAGGCTCTTCGAGTCCAGGTTCTGGTGCTCACGAGTTCTCTTGGTGGGAGCTTGTGTCTCACTGGACATGCTTTTCCAGTGATGCATCAGGATGCTATCCTCCCTTCCAGATATAGTTGGGTGTTTACGTTTCTGTACTTGTGTGGCTACACCGCTGTTTAAAACGAAGGGGGGATGCATCTTGATAAGTCCGATACTTTGGTATCTTACTTACTCGAGTGCTTTCCACCACAGCCAAAAAGAAGGAGGGGTCCGAGTGCAGTCTCTGTAGTTCGTTCGCGAGACCGGATGAATATTTCATAAATTCATACTTTATATTTTATTGATTCTGGAATATATATCCTCGGATTTTCTTTATGATATTTGAAAGCTTTGCTTACCGAATATCTGGTCCATTTCCATCGTGGTGTGCCGACGGCTGTTGTGAAATATAAAACATCGCATGTGCAGGCAGCTGGCAAGGATCACGATGCATGGGTGGGCCCCGGCACTATATGTATGTTGATTATATGCATATGTGTGTTGGTAGGGCCTGCTAGGGTGTATATCAGCTGTAGGTGCAGAAGAGCAAGAAGGACAAGCTGGACAAGGCCGTCGTTTGTGGCAGTGGTCGATACTACTGCCACGTGAACCATGCAGTTTTGGTCAGGCTGATGCTACGACAGCCGTCGATCCGGACCAGGTGCTACATGTTTGATATCACACGTGATCAGCAGAGAGTGTTTGCCCCATTCCGTTGCAGCAGTCCCGTGTCGCACTAGCCATGCATAGGCCGCATCAGGCATGTATGTGAACCAGGCACGTGGTCTGTTGTGCAAGCTTTCCTTCATGCATACAATACTCCCCTTTAGCCCACAGAGCATGATAAATCTAGAGGCGTATGCGAAGAACAACATCCGTCGATGGATGAAACCTGGCTCTTACTGGTCATCAGCAGAGGAGCAGAAGAAGAAAGTCTCTGATGAGGATGCCGAGCGCATGATCAAGAAGTGGGAGCGGCAGCTGGCTAACCGCTCTGATGTGCCCGATGATGAGAGTTCCAGCGAACCGGAGCAGGAAGAACTCTGCTCTGAGGATGCAGAGGAAAAGCAAGAGGCGGAGGAAGAGGAAGAAGAAGAGAGTGACGAAGGAGCAAGCGGCTCAGAAAGCTCAGGTCACGAAGCAAGCGAGGAGGAGGCAGAGGAGGAGAAGGAAAGCGTTGACTCCGATGAGGGGTCAGCAAGTGCAGTGTTGTCCAAGGCAAGCGAGCTTTCGGCTGAGAGCGACGGCATCGACGCCGATGCCGATGACCTCGAAGTAAGTTCGGACGATGACTCAGACGAGTCGTCGTTGAGCTCGAGCGATGAGGACGGCCGGGTTGCAGGTATATGTGGCTATGCATGTCTATATATAGGTGCACACGTATTTCTATATTTCTCGTTCGTTCTCTCTCTCTCTCTCTCTCTCCCCTCACTTTCTTCGTCTCTCTCTCTTGCTGATGGATCTCTCTGCCGTAATATACTGGCCATATTCCCAAAATATTCCATGTCTCTTTCTGTTTATTATCTTCCGCTCTCTCCTTCTTTGTGCTTCGTTCTTGTGTCTCGGGTTGCCCAGGAAGAGGAAGTCGTGCCGGTGACACCCCGGGGAACGAAAGCCCAGGTGCTCCACAGGGTCTTGCTTGCAGTTGCTGGATACATTTGTAACTTGTACCGCCCGGACTTTCATAGCTATGCAGGCCAGAGGATCCCCCGAAAAGCCCCATGCCGCCTGACTGCAAGTTCAAGTCTCTGGTCTTGGGTTTGGGCTTAAGACTTTAAGCTAAGCCAAGCCTTAGAATGCCACGATCCTAGGCTAAGAAGATGAAGACGCTGCAAGCAAACGAGAGCTGCAAGAACGAGAAGGAAGCCAAGAAGAAGGAAAAGGAAACCTCCACGGACCAGAACAAGCAAAAGCAAAGCAAGGACGAGAAGGAAGCCCAGAAGAAGGAGAAGGAAACCACCACGGACACCAAGGGAACGACAGGGAAGAAGGCAAGCGGGGACACAACCAAGCCGGAGAAGAAGGTCAAGAAAGACAAGAAGGAGAAAAAGGAAACGGCAGAGCAGGCCACGGAAGGCGCTGAGAAGGCAACGGAGGAGGAGGAGGAGCATGGCCGTTTGGCCGATGCTGAGCAGAAAACGCTGCCCAAGAAGCCCGCCAACTCATCGAGCCACAGGAAGGAATACATGCGGTTCAAAAGGTGGACGAAAAGCAAGAAGCGGTTCCCGGCAAAGTTGACAAGTGCGGTGCAAACCCAGGACACCGTCGTGCGATGCTTGATCTGCATGTATCAAAGAAACGACATAGTTGAGAATTATGCTACACACATGCCATATTCTTTGTGCCTAGATTTACAAATATATCTTCAGATGTGTGCTCTGTGGGTATATGACAATAGCATACGCGTTCGAAGATCTGTATACACTTCTAGAAAAGTACATGTGTGTACGTGTCTTTGTGTGTATACACATGATACATGTGTATGTATGTATGTATGTATGTATGTATGTATGTGTGTATGTGTGTGTATGTAATGTAACGTAAGAATGCATGTGTGCAAGCTCCGGCAGTTTAATATGTGATGCTACATACAGGAGGGCCGCGCAAAGCTCTTCACCGACTTTCTTGCTTGCGACGGCGATACCGATGAGGTTTTGTTGCGCTTCGAAGCCCGGATGGAAGAGAAGGAAAGCAGCTCAGTGAGGTGGGGCTTCCGGCCCGAGAAGTGGCTGCAGGATCGGCACGGCGAGCGAAAGGCCACCAAGTTGATGGACCGCAAGAAAGCGCTCGGCTTGACACTTTCATGCAATAAGGTGGGAGGGTCTTTGAAAGGTAAGTCTTGGGGCCGGCGTTGCTTCGGGACATCTCGGCTCGGGATGTATGGATGTGCATGTGTGTACCTATGTATGTCTGTATGTATATGCATACATACATACATATATATATATTATAGGTAGTTACAGTTCTATACCTATGAATATACATATACAGGTACAATTTGGGGTGTGTCTAGTATGTTAATGTGAATATTGTTTATGTGTGTATGTGTATATATATATGTACATATACACGTACAGATCTATATATATATATATATACATATATATACACATATACATATACATATACGTATACATGTACATATACATATGCATATACATATACATATACATATACATGTACATATACATATACGTATCCATATCCATATCCATATACATATATGTATCCATATCCATATACATATCCATATACATATACATATACATATACATATACATATACATATGCATATGCATATGCATATACATACATATATATATATATATGTATATGCTACATATATTGTACATCTAGATCATACACAGGGTTCGCAAGAAACAGCACTAGACCCAGTAAGCCCGCCACTCTCCAAACACCTTGTGCCCACTCCCAACCAAACATCAGGACGATTCCGGATCCGGAGCTGCCACCCGACAGCGGCGAAGTTTTGTACTTCGTGATGATCGAAATGGATTTCTCGAACATCCAAGAGTTGACCAGGGTGGCCAAGTTGGAGCTTTCGGGTGCGATTGACAAGGAGGGGCTGAAACAGTTCGTCCAGGCAGGCGGCTATTACTATAACGGTGTACCGGTTATATGCTTCAAGCTGATGGACGGGTATAGGGTTTGAGGGTTTAGGGTTGTCGAAGTTGCTTCGAAGTCCCGAGGCACAAACATAATTAGTGCCTTATGATGCAAGCTCATGGGCTCACCGGGATCTTAGTGCTGCGAGGGTTTGAAGGTGTCCTGCTTCGAGGAATACGAAGCAATAAGGTTTAGAGCTTGGAGGGTTTCGGATTTCGGGTGTAGGCTTTGGGATTTCGTAGGATTTTGGGTTATAGGGTTTCGGGGGTTTGGGCTTGTTCATTCTGGGTCTTGAGGTTTCGGGTTAAGGGGTTTAGGTGCTTTGGGGGTGGCGGGTTGAAAGGCTTTGGGGTTTAGAGCGATGCTAGCTTCGCGGGAGCTAGCTCGGTGTATGCATACTTCGAAATTAAATCTCCTTGTCATCGCCGAAGTTTAGAGTTTAGTGGATTGGATGCAGGGCCAGCATGCAGCCCGAACCTCCAAGCTTTTGTGAAGTGCTCGTACAGTTTAGGAATGAACCTTTTTATAGACCCAAGCCCTCTGATCCTTGCGGCCCGAAACCCTCGTCAATCCAAACCCACAAATACGGTGGATGATATAGACCCTGCACTACCCATAATCAGGAATTTACCATACTTCACACATATATATATATATTTATATATAGTCTGGGCTCATTAAGGTAATGCAGGGTTTATATCATCCACCGTAGCCGCCCAATCTTAAGGGATCCCTGAATTTAACCCGTAGCGGCTTGTCGTCAATGTCCAGCAGGGTGGCGGCATGCTCGACCCGAAGATGGGCCTCAAGCTGGTGGATTTCAGCAGCGGGGCTCCTTTGACTGGGAGCCAGTTGATGGGAAAAGCATTGGGGAGCACACCCAACGGCAAGCAGCCAAAGAATGGCAAGAAGCCTAAGCAAGGGGAAGGCAATGATCAGGAGACAGCCGAGCCGACAAAGGCGGGGCAGTTGCGCAGTTGCTGTGTTCGTTATCGGGTTGCTTTGCTATGCTTGCTTAGACCAGCACGGATGTGCCACTGAAGATTGAGGTGGAACCCAAAACGCCGTTGCAAAAAGCCGAAGCCCGCCTTGTGTTCGTTTGTAACATAGTGCACGTAGTCCCAAGTAGAGTGTGTAAAGTAATCACGAGAACACATGAAACATGTGTGTGAACCGCAACACGGAGGCTTAAGCAAGTCAGCCCGCGAAGTGAGAAAAGTGTGTTTGCGAGTAGAGTGGGAAGGAAGGCTTGAGAAGCCTTTAGTTTCAACATGGTAGCGGAGCTCCCTGATTCAGACCTCTTGGGAGCGATGAAGCTATCACAGGAACAACAGGTAGCTGTCGCCATGGTTTCCTTGGCTTTGGCTTTTTCGCTGATGTGTCTGGCGAGAAGCTTTGTGAAAGAACTTGTGAGAAAGGAGACGGGGGAGCGCGTAGCTCCAGCTGAGGAAGAAGTGCCAGAACTCTGGTACTCACCTTACGGAGAGAAGACCCACACCTCAGGAAGATGTCATGGCCTCAGGAACGCAACCAGCGTACACCGAGTACTACCGTGCAAGTACTGCTGTCCCGGCGGACTCCGATCCCGGGAACAACGCACCTTCGAGTACAAGAGAACCTTTTTGGAAGCAGCAGGAAAGTACCTATGGCTAAAAGTCTTCATGGTTGTGGTTCTCATGGGCATGTCATGGTTCATGGTTTTTGAAGTGAACGAGACCTACGGCTACCCGTTGGCCACGAACCGCATGCTGAACTACAGGAACAAGGTCCTCAGTCTCGACAACAAGAACCCCAAGAAGAAGCATGTGATAAAGGAGATTACCCCAGCGGATGTTGTACCTGCCGGGATGAGCCAAGAAGGTGATCACACAGAGCTTTTCACGTTGTGGTCGCATGTACATGAGCCCAATACCAAACCGAGAACGAGAACGAGATCAACGTCACAAGCTACCTCAAGAAGACGAACGCGTACTCCGAGTTCTACAAGAACAGAAGAAAAGGAACAAAGTTGCAACTACAGTTTTCATGATGGTGATGTCACGGAGTATAACGAGAACCTAAAGAACGAAGAAGTGCCCCACGTGAACTACTACAAGAACCTTGTGTTTGAGTTGGTTTTGGAGTTTCAAGAGTACCTTGCGAAAGCAGGAAGAAGCCTTGAGCCCGTCGTGAGCTACGTCGTGCGCACGTGTCACCCAGTACTACTTCTACTTGGGACCCCGCTTGGTATGGTCACTTGGATCTACCTCTATTTTTGGGTCAGAGTTAAGCAAACAAAAAGAGAACAGTTGAAGAGGAAGTTTTCGAGAAGGAAGTTGCACAGGTCAGTTTGCAGCGTTCTTTTCAGGAAGCGAGTCTGGTTGCATGTTGTGTTGCTTTACAGTCACATGCAGAGTGCAGTTGCAATGGAGGAAGCCTTGCAAAGGCTTACGGACCTCACTGCCCAAAACACACAACAGATACAAGCACTTGCCCAAGCAATGAACAGTCAGCAAGCGCAGGCAAGTACAGCTTCACAACAACTACAGGAACTCGCGCAGTCAGTTTCACAACAGCAGAGAGCAATTACAGAAGCAACCCAAGCAACCAACACAGCACTGTCACAGCAAGCAGAGCTTACAGCAAACGCGGTTGCAGCAACAGGAAAGCTTACAGCAGACGCAGTCACAGCACTGTCGCAGCACGCAGAGTCAAGAAGGCCAGGAGAGATCGACCTCCACAAGATGATCAAGTCTCCAGAAGTATTTGGCCCTACTACGTACAAAGAAGAACGTGATGGTTTTCTAGAGTTTCGGTTGAAGCTGAGAAGTTGGATAGGCGCTCTCAACAACGACATCCTTGAGAAGATCAACGCAGTCGAGATGGACAGAAGAGAAGCATCATGGGAATGGAGCAAACTTAACCCAGGTGAACAAGCACTTTCAAGAAAGCTACACTCCATTCTTACCAGCTACACACGTGGCCGTCCTCTACGAACTCTAAAGCAAGTACCCAACGAGAACGGTTTCGAAGCATGGAGGTTGTTGGTGGAGGAACATCAGCCTCACAATCGTGCACGTTCTCTACAACTACTTAACGGAGTTCTTCACTACAGGTTCGACAAGCAAAGGTCAACACAAGAAAATATCTTGAAGTTTGAGGAGTTGATTGAAGAGTACGAGAGAGCGAGTGGAGATCTTGTTGCGGATGATATGAAGATTTCTATCATTCTTGGAGGAGCTGAAGGAAACATGAGACAACATCTTCTACTCAACCAGAAGGAGACCACAAGATATGGAACGCTACGTCAGTACCTCCTCTCCTACGAGCAAGCAGCAAGGTGGACTACCACAGACCTCATCAACTCAGGAAAGGACCACCAAGGACAAGCAGACATGGATGTTACACGAGTTGAATGGTGGAAAGGCAAAGGAAAGGACAAAGGGAAAGGAAGGAAAGGAAAAGGATTCGGCAAGCACAAAGGAAAAGGCTACAGCAAAGGAAAAGGAAAAGGAGAAAGCCAGTACTACTACAAAGGCCGAGGAAAAGGAAAAGGACGAGGAAAAGGAAAAGGAAAAGGCAGAGGCCGAGGATATGGCAAAGGCGGGGGAAAAGGCTACAGCAGCAAAGGAAAAGGCAAAGGCTACAACAACCCAGGAGTTGCTGTTTGCCACTACTGCCAGAAGCCTGGACACTACGAAGCCAATTGCAGACTCAAGCAAAGAGACATGCAGCAGAACGTCAGGAACGCACAGGAGGAAGACGAACAAAGCGTCAGGACACAGCCGACTACGGTTCCAAGCAGTAGCGCTTCAGCAGCCACAACAAGAACTACAAGCGCGAAGTCTACAGCTAAGCCAACAGTCCGGCAGATCGCAATGTACCACATGGACGACGATCCCGTCACGTACCCTGAAGTTTTCGAACTTGATGAAGACGAAGAAGAACTCGAGATTGAATACTTTGGAAGAGTCTTGAGAGTGACGGAAACTGAAGAGTTTGTTTTGTCAGAAGGAGAAGAGAGCGAAGAAGAACAAGAAGATCCTCTACTGAACTGGTACCTTGGACGTGAAGCACTACCACCCCAAGAAGTTCTTTCAGTGCGCGTTGTAGAAGAAGAGTTTTTCCAGGAAAGTGATCTACACCAAAGAATCGAAGTTATCCTGGACTCTGGCGCAGACGTTTCTCTTGTGCCCTCTTGGCTAGGAAAGGAAGGAACCCCTTTGAAGGTTCGCCCTTCGTCCATTCAGGACGCACAAGGAAAGGCGATAAAGACGGAAGGCAGAAGGATGCTGAACTTAACGTTCTTCGATGACAACGGAAGCTTTTGTCGCATCCAGGAAGCCTTCACCGTTGCCTCGGTGATCAACCCGCTGATGGCCATAGGCAAGCTGTTTCGAGAAGGTTGGGATTTGCGAGTTAACGAAGAAGAAGGTATGTGTCTTACAGATGGAAGCTCAAGAATACCAGTGCATCTCCACAAGAACAGCTTGGCAGCCTACGCCTACGTACAAACTCCTTCAAGAAGCAGAGGTTACAGCAGCAGCAACTACAAGATGGTTCGCACTGTTGTCCAACTCAACAAGCACGTTCAGGAAGCAGTGAACAAAGAAGAACCTGGTTGGCACAACACTGACAGCATGGTGATCGTGAAGTATGCTACTCAAAGCAGCTATGAGAACCCATCTCTCATGTATAGCCCTACGCACTTTCCGTACAGAAGCACTTTGGTGAAAGAAGAGAGAGGATGGAGAGCAGTCGAAGTTTCGAGAAAGTACTCCGAGAAGGCAGACCCTTTTGAAGAGTTTGCTGAAGGAGAAAAGGAAGTGGTTACAGCCATTTCAGCAAAGCCAATTCCACTTTGGATTCTTGGCACTCCTTACGCAGCTGGAGATCGAGCAGACCAAGAAAGCCATGGTCGTGACTACTGGAAGATGGATCTTGAGAAAGGAGAAGTTGTTCGTCACCACGTAGTACCAAGAACTGTTTTGTTCGACCCGACAGGTGTTTCCAACTGTCCTGTCCTCCTTGGAGACCTTGAGAACAGCAGATATACCCAAGGAGACTGTATTTACAGTACAGAAATCTACGAACACAGCGACGACTGGAGAGCAGACCGCCTACCTCTACGTGAACACTTTCGGTTGCCGTGGTTTGGTCAAACAAGGTTTCGAGTGAAGCCAGAAGTTGTTGAAGACCTGAGGGCAGAAGCTGCAGCAGAGGAGCTCAAGAAGAAGAAAGAAGAGCACTACCAAGAGAAGGAAGACTCAGCAGCACCACCAGCAGCAGAAGAGAGCAAAGATGAGGAGATGAGAGAAGCACAAGCAGACCAAGAAGCACCACAAGAAGTTGTTGAAGTTTTAGAGGAAAGCTTCTACCACGAAGGCGTCGAGTACACAGCACAAAGAAGCAGCCTCAAAGAACTACAAGCACTTTGCAGAGAGTACGGAGTCAAGACCACAGGAAGCAAGAAACAGCTCTTGAAGAGACTCGCCACAGCAGTCAGAGAAGAAAGGCTCAACACACAACATAAGGAGCAACGGGAACACCACCAAGCATACCACCTAGCACCACCACAGGAACCAACGGAAGAGGAGAGAGCGTACCACAACTTGACGCACCTTCCGTATCAGCCTTGGTGTCCCCATTGCGTTGCTATGAAAGCACGAGAAGACAACCACAAGAAAGGATTGAGCAAGCCAAGCAGCTCTACGGATTCCGCGAAGCCCGTCATCAGTTTTGACTTTTGCTATACAAGCACCACAGGAAGTGAAGAGCCACCTGCAGTGACTCTTGTGTCGCTGTGGACAGCTGGAGCAAAGCAGTCTTAGCAGTGCCCTGCAAGAGGAAAGGAGGAGCAGGAAGCACAACGCACCTCGCGGAAGCACTCGTGCAGTTTACCACGCAGCTCGGGTACAATGCCCTCGTTCTCAAAGCAGACAACGAGAACGCAGCCAAAGCACTTAAGGACAAAGTACAGAAAGTACGCAGCAGCCTTGGACTTTCTACAACACTACAGGAAAGCATTCCTTACGACCACGAAAGCAATGGAGCCGCAGAAAGAGCAATACAGACAGTACGGAGGCAAGCGAACACTATTCTCGATGAGCTCAGAGAAAGAACACAGCTAGGAATACCGCATGAGCACGCAGTAGTAAGCTGGGCGTTTCGACACGCCTGCTGGCTACTCAACAGGTTCGCAGTCAGTAGCTCCACAGGAAGAACACCACAAGTTATCCACGGATACCCCTATTCAGGGAAGCTTGTACCCTTCGGTACTGTTGTGATGGCGAAGAGGTTGAAGATCAAAAGAAAAGGTGACAGGATATGGAACGCAGGAATATTCTTAGGCAAGACAGAGCAAGACACTTGGATCGTTGCACAGCCTGATGGTATACATATCACACGCAGCGTGAGACCACTGCCAGAACAGTACGACTCCAAGAGAACAAGCAGCATAGAGTCATAGAGGTCCATACCTGGAACCTCAACACACCACTCCTTGGAGCAAGAGTACTTCCAGAGAAGAAGCAAAAGCAACGACCACAGCTAAGCATCCTGCCCCCTGTTGCCGAGGAAGAACGCGAACAGCTCGAGAACGACGAGGCCGCTAGTGACCCTCCGAGTTCGGAGGATAGCAGTGAAGAGCAACAGCAAGCACTTGAAGACAGAGAGGAACAAAGCGAAAGCAGCAGCATGAGTGTGACGAGAGACAGAAAGAGAAGAGCTGAGGTTGATGATGACACCCTTTTGGAGGAACTCAGAGCAAGTGAACCACTCACAGCCTCAGCAGAAGCACTTTCAGCGCCAGCTGAACCAAGAGCAGAAGCAAGCAAGCACAGTCTTGAGCCTGAGGAACCAAGCTCACCCAGCAAGCTAAGAAAGCAGGTCAACAGAGCAGAGGAAGCAGATGGTTACCTCAACATGCCTCACGATGATGAAGTCTACGAAGCAGATGATGAGTTTTTGTATGAGTCGGAAGAAGAAGAAGAGGAAACAGAGAGTGAACCAACGGAAGTTTTTACCAAGGTCCCTGTCGAGTTCTTCGACGAGGAGAAAGGACCACCGAATGTGGATCCAGATTTTCTTCAGAAGTTGGATGATGAAGCTACAGTCAAAGAAATCAAGAGGTTAACAAAGATTGGAGTTATTTCGTTGGTTTCTACGGACCCTCAAGAAGCAACTGAGAACGTACCTCTGGTAGACTCAGAACAAGAACTTCACAAGTGGTTGACAACGAAGTTGGTGAAAGATTGGAGGTTCAGAGAAGCTACAGGTTTTGAAGTTGACGAAGCCACAGCAGGAACAACAAAGCCCAAGCAGATTCAAAGATGCTGGCAGCGACGAGCCAGGCTAGTAGCAAGAGAGTACAAGACAGAAGGAAAAAGAGAAGATATATTTTCTCCTGCAACAAGCCCAGGAATTACGAAACTGGTGCCCATGTTGGCTCTCGCCAACAATTGGGCGATCTACAGTGTCGACGTGAAGGACGCGTTTCTACAAGTCCCTCAACGAACGCCTTGTTTGTGTCGAGTACCTGAAGAAGCAGCTCACGTTGTACAAGCAATGCAGGAACAACCAGAACGCAACCCTAGAACTTGGTGTTGGAAGCTAGGAAGAGTCTTACCAGGTCAACGCGACGCATCCAGTCTTTGGTCAGACTTTTGCGATGGTCTTTTGGTGGAAGAGAAGTTTGAGCGTTGCACAGCAGTTCCAGCACTTTACCGTCTTCTACGACAAGGAAAAGTGGTTGCAGTTTGCATTGTACATGTAGACGACTTGCAGTTTGCAGGCAAGAAGGAAGTCATCGAACCTATCCTCAAGAACCTCAAGAAGAAAGTGAACTTACAAGTTGAAGGACCTCTTCTGAACGAAGAAGATTACGAGAAAGGATTTTCTGAAGAGACCGTGAAGTTTCTCAAAAGAAAGTACACGTACGAACATCATGAACTACGAGTACATAGCGATAACAAGTACGTGAAGAAACTCATGGAGATCCTCAAGCTGGAGAAGAAGAAGGCCAAGAACTCTCCTTGTACACCAGCCAGTCAGGAACCTGACGTATCCCAAGAACTGGACGAGGAACACTCGAGAACTTACAGGAGTTGTGTTGGCATTTTGCTGTACGTGGCACACGACCGTCCGGACATCCAGTTCGCAGTACGCAGCCTAAGTACTGCCATGACAAAACCAACAGAACGCAAAAGAAAGGAACTGGAGCACTTGGCGCTCTACCTCAAAGGAACGTCAGACTACGCCGTTACGTACCGCAGGAACAGCCCAGGAACGTCAGCTCTACGTCATCGCGCAGAAGAACCACATGAACCACAAGAACCTCAAGAACAACAACGCGAACGTTTACTCGAAGTTTTTAGCGACTCCGACTGGGCCGGAGACAAGCAGACGAGGAAGTCAGTGAGTTGCGCCATGTTCTACCTGGACGGTGCATATTTCTATAGCTACAGCAGAACACAGAAGTCAATAGCATTGTCTTCAGCAGAAGCAGAATACATGGCACTTACAGGAGCAGCAAGCGAAGGAATAGGTTTACACGCAGCAGTTCGTTTCCTTACGGGAGAACGAGTACTACTCAAAGCATACACGGACAGTTCCGCATGCCGCGGAATTACAAACCGCCAAGGAACAGGAAGAGTCAAGCACCTGCAGATTCGTTTACTTTGGTTACAAGCAGCAATACGAGAAGGCAAGCTTACAGTACATGCAGTTGGTACAAAGGAAAACACAGCAGACCTAGGAACAAAGCCTCTCAGCACGAAAAGAGTGAAGTTTCTCCTGAACATGATCGGCATGTGCAACAGTGAAGGAAGAGTTGGAGAGCAAGAGCGAGAAGAAGAAGAAAAGGCACAAGTGGTTAGAAGACTCGAGAAGATCATGAAGAACAAGAGCAGCATGTTGTTTGCACTTTCGAGTTTGTTTGCAAAGACTGAGGCAGCTTACGTACAACACGTACCTTTCGCCGCAGCTCAAGAAGTAGCAAGCTCAAAAAAGTCCCAAGCAGTCCTGGAAGCATGTCGCTTCTGGAAGTCCTGGTGACGCTCGCCATGGTGTGCATGGCGGCATACTTTGTCGTCAACGAGATGAGAAAGCCGCAGAAGCACAAGAAGTCTAGGAAAGAGGAGAGAAGCAGCAGTGAAGAAGAAGAAAGCAGCAGCTCAGAAAGCAGACGAAGAACCGAAGACAAAAGAAGGAGGAAGAAAGCAGAGAGAGAAGCGAAGACTGAAGCTCCTGCCGCTCAGGTGAACTACGACGTGGACTCCTTCGACGAGGCAAAGAAAGAAGTGACAGAGAAGGCAGAGAAGTTGAAGAAAGTTGAGGAGAGCCTGGAGAAGGAAAAGGAGGAGTTCGGAAACCAGAAGGCAGAGTTTGAGGAAACAGTGAAAAGGTTTTTGAAGAAGCAGAAGGAGGTGAAGGAGAAGGAAGACAAACTTACAGAGAGAGAAGAGAAGCTAGAGAAAGACCAAGAATCCCTCCAAGAGCAAGCCAAGGCCTTAAGCGAGAAGGAGACAGCCCTTGAAGAAGCTGAGGAGAACGTCAAAGCAAAGGAAGCAGAGGTTGAGAAGAAGAGTAAAGAGGCAGAGAAGAAAGAGAGAAAAGCTCAGGAAAGAACCGTCGGCTACGACCAAGAGAGAGAAGAGTACGCCAAGAAGTACGTGGACGACGCAAAGAAGGACTTGGAGAGAGAGCTTTCAGTACTAAAACAAGAAGAGAAAGTAAGGAACCAAAAGCTCGACGACCTCCAGTACGACTACAAGAGCCTCAAGGACGACTACCAGTACTTCAAAACTTACTCGCAGGAAGTGGACGCACTTCTACTTGCAGCTAAGGACAAGATCGTGAAGTACAAGCAGAAGGTCAAAAGCCTCAAGGAAACCATAGGTGCAGTCTTGTCTGGAAGTGAAGGTGAAGAAGAGACAGACGAAGCGTACAAGACCAAAGCAGAGGTAGAGAAAGAGAAAGCAGAGGCTAAGGCAAAAGAAGAGGAGAAGAAGAAAGGAAAGAAGCCAAAGCAGGTAGAGACCGAAGACCCAGAAGAGAAGCCCTCAAGCAGCCAAGGAGACGAGAACACCTTCGACCCGAACGACATAGCCGAGTTCACGCAGCTTGGTTACGTGTGGGAGTTCAACAAGAAGACGCAAGAGTACCGCGCGAAGAGCGAGGACAAGAAAGGAAGCACAAGAATCAAGAACGCTCCGGTGAAAGGCCGCCTCCTTTGGAACAAGGTGACGGAGTGCTACAGAAAGCACAACGTTTGGTTTACAGACGGAAAGGAATTGGATAAATTCCTCGAGACCAAGGAGAACGAGAAGATCGAGGAAGAGGTGCAGCGACGCATCCACGCGAAGGGCAAGTACGACAACCAAGGAACGAAAGGAAAAGGCCCTTCCTGGGACGACGGACAGAGCGACAGTTGGTGGTACAACGAGCAGTGGAACAACGAGAACTGGAACACCACCGACGACGGCAGCAACTGGTACGAGAACGCGAACCCACAGAACAAAGGCTACTGGCAGACGCCAGAAGAGTGGGCGCAGCAGAACCAGTGGGAGCAGTGGACACCCAAAGGAAAGAGCAAAGGCAAGAAGTCCAAGAACTGGGTGCAGACCCAGTGAGAGGATCCCGAGAAGGGATGATCGAGAAGGTCAAGCAGTGAACGCTTGTACATATGTACATAGCTAGGCAACGTAAGACTTGATGTATACTAGCACAAGAATTCATGTACAAAGTGTGAGCAAATGTATAGACGTAGCAAACTGGGGCAGTAAGCCTAGGTAAGCTACAACCTTCCAAAGTCTCACAAGAAGTTTCACACAAGGCAGGTTAGGAAGGTACAAGGGCCAGAAGAGGCAAGAAGCCGGAGAAGCCAAGAACAAAGAGAAGAAGCCCGAAAGAAGAAAAGCCCGTAGGCTACGTAAGGGCAGAAGGAAACCGGGGTACGGGCCTCCCCGCAAAGAGTCCATAGGCTGGACCTAACTAGAACGTAGCTGTACATACAGAGTAGGTTTTTCAAGAAGGCCAATGTACAGACATAGAAGGCCTAAGTAGCAACAGGGCAGGAGTGCAGCTAGGTAAAAGACCAGGAAGAACGGAGACGAAAGTCCCTAGCAAAAGCACTGTACAGAAAGCCCTAGCAGTTTCCAAGAACACCCTAGGAACCCGCAAGAACTTTCTGAGGCGGGGTGTTCGTTTGTAACATAGTGCACGTAGTCCCAAGTAGAGTGTGTAAAGTAATCACGAGAACACATGAAACATGTGTGTGAACCGCAACACGGAGGCTTAAGCAAGTCAGCCCGCGAAGTGAGAAAAGTGTGTTTGCGAGTAGAGTGGGAAGGAAGGCTTGAGAAGCCTTTAGTTTCAACACCTTGGGAAAGCCCTGAAAGACAGCAGCGACTGCACGCGTGAATCTTAGCCGTCGTATATATCCCGGACAAATGAACAAATAACCCCTTAAGCCTCGATCAATCTTAAGGACCTGGGCCTTCAAACTGCGCCCCATCAAAATGAGTTCGCAGCTCATCGAGCAGCTCGAGGCTGTGAGCAAAGCGCTCACAGAGGTTGCAGGGAAGATCCAAGTTCTCACGAACAAGAAGAAGAACAAAAACAAGTATTATCACGACGTGTGCAAGGAGGTGGGCATGTGAATGTAACACGGCAAATCCCTGAAAACCCCAAAACCTTAAAGAGCACGAAGATTTGTGGGTTGAATTCTCCCTGAAGGCTGATTCCCTGAGCAAGCTCGCGACCGAGCAGATCAACTTAGCCAAGGCCCTGCACCGAGCCAAGAACAAGTCTGAGCCAAAGGCAAAGGCGAAATCCGCTGCATCCAGCAATGCCACAGCATCGCCTGGGGATAAGTCGGCCAAGTGAGGTTGCTGGACATCGATGTGAAAGCTTGGATTTTGAAAGCTTAGGGCTTAGGTTTAAGCCGTTGGGTCCTAGGGTGGTTTGAAGTCAAGACCGATCTGAGCTCCCTCGACCTCATGTGCTGATCCCCAAGCATGATTGTTTTCTCAATCAGAACATGCAGACATAGCAGTTCGATGAAAGGCTTAGTGCACCCCCGTTGCAAAGGGAATGTGTCCACTGTGGCCTGCCACAGTGCCACAAGGGTGCAATCTGCGGTGCTTAAATCCTGGAGTCAGCCAGCTGCTTTAGGTCTGTGTGACCTTTTGCTTATCCGCTTCTGTGGACAAATGCCTGCGTGATGTATATGCAGATCCGAGCTCTACTTCTGTGTGACCACTTGTAATCAATCCCCTCCGTCAGGTCAAGATCACGCTCTCGGTCCCGTGCCGGCCACGCCAGCGCAGGTGCCCTGGACCGTACGGGGCCTCGGCCCCAAATCGAGAAAACCCCAAACCGCATAACCCCAGAATAGCCACCCCAAAAGGGTCTAGGGGCCGGGTTTTCGATTTGAGCTTTAAGCTCGTTGTTGCAGGGTGGGGCTGTCTTCGAGTTTGGAGTAAACCCTACTTGGAGGATCATGGGACTTAGTAAGTGGGGTTATAAATACGGTAACTATACTTAGATGTACTTATAACCCCAATTAAGGCACTTATAACCCTATACTTACTAAGTCCCATGATCCTCCAAGTACCAAATCCTCGACCCACGTCTGGCCCTTCGGGCCTGGGGCTTCAGAGATAACAAAGCAACCTGGGGTCTGATAGGCTTTAGTGTTTATTGTTTAGAACAAATTGGGATAATGCTGGGCTGAGTGTGCCTGAAACGCTTAAGGGTCGGAAGGCTTTAAGGTTTGGGGCTTAGGCTTTGGATAAGTCTGCGTTTATGTATAGGTACGTCCGTTATGAATCTATCTATATATATATACGGTATGTATATATATATATGTATATATACATATATATATATATATATTATATGTTTAGCATATATATATATATATATACAGTAGAAGCCAGAAAGTTGGAACATGGCTTTAGGAGGATTAGTGCTAGGATCCCTTATACTTTACCTTAAGGGCATGAGGATAATGATGTTCCAACTTAACGGCTTCTACTGTATATATATATATATATGCTGACGATGACGATGATGACGATTCGATGGTGATAGTGATGATACTGTTGATGCTGATGAATGATGATTTAGTGATGTCGGTGTTGATGGTATGATATGATGGTGATGAAGGTGGAATGCGACGATCTAGGTATGAAGCTGGATCATACTGGCGACTCTCACACGTCATACTATGCCATACTGTACTCTGTACGTGGTCTGTAGCTACTATGTACAGGTTCTGTGTATTCTACTACTCTCGACTAAAGTTGTCGAGCTCTCTTGGATTCAAGTCTCAGTGCCGCAGGCTCCAAATCGTTTAATCCCAAAACCGAAAGCCTTACATCCCTCAAATCGTAAATCCCCCCCAAACCCTGCAATCGATGTTGCGAACTGTTCCGCACGTGCTGTTCGAAGCCCCAAGTAGCCCGATATATTGATTCCCAAGGCTTTTTAAATCCTGAAACTCAAAACTCAAGCCCCGAATGCAGCTTATAATCCGCACAATCTAATCGCAAACAGCGACAGGAAGCTCAAGAAAGCTTTCAGCATTTACGATCTAGTGCAAATGAGCAAAAGCCTTCGACACCCCAGGTTTGCAGCGACGGTCAAGATCCAGAGATGGAGCTCTATTGGACTTACCATCTACAGATCGACAAGGCCCGCTATATTACAACCCAAGGCTTTGAAAAGCAGTGATGAAACCTTGCATAATTACCCTCCAAAAGCCTTTCGCTCTTGGCCTATACTCGGTTTCTGTGTTTATGCAAACAAGCCGCGCAAGAATGACAGCGATTTACCATTAGTCACAACACCCGCGAGAAAAGGCACGCTACGACGATCGCGGTCGAGATCACGCTTCTCATCCCGTGGTGGCGAAGGAGCATCATGCATGCATGCATGTCGGATACTGCATGCGAGAGTTGTCTGTGTGCATGATCGAGTCAACACTACAAATTCATACCATATGAAGTTGTGACGTTGTGACAAAACTTTTACTCACACCGGCTTTGCATCCAGGAATGTGGGCAGTGGAAAATGCGAATGCCGCTTCACTGCGGATTTTCCTCAAAATCTGCTCTGGTGCATTCTGTTCGAAACTTGCAGTACTGCTTTCAGATTCAGTTCATAAGTTAAGATGGAGCTTTGGCCTAGCTCATTGTTCGCGTGTTCCGCTTCAGGCACTTTCGGTGGCAGATGGTTGCCGGGATGCGGCTGCATTGATGCTTGATGGATCCTTCTGCCCTCTTGCGGAGCTTATGGCTATGTGGGGTCGGAGTGGTCATGGTGAAAGATCCTTTCAAAGGTGCCATGTTGCAGCAGAATGTTTTTTTGGGCATTGTAGGTCGGTTCACATGGTTTTTAATATTAGCCCCCTCCAGATTTGATCCCGAAGGTGGTGCCAAAAGCGTTGCCGAATTCAGCCTGGCCAAATACAGTTGACTTTCAAGGATGATGAAGGTGAGCGAAAAATGGATCACGCTGTGCTTTGGCCCTGGGACGTCCTGAACTACCTCTACAGTTCAAACAAACTGGAGACATGGATCTATGACCCACCAGAGCGAGCATCCTTCCATGTGACTGACACTTGGGTCGAGCTGCTAGAACTTGTGAAGTTTCTGCTTGCTGTTTTAAGAAATGTAGAACAGTTTTGCGAGGTTCCTGTTTGTAACCTATATAGTCAAGGAATACTGGAAAAATGTGCAACACTTGGAGTTCTACCAAAAGCTTGGATTGCGGAAAGAAGATTGGCCGCACTGCATTCCGCTGTCCTGGCATGTGGACGGTGTGAAAGTGTATCGGTCACAGAAAGCATGGGTGTATAGTTTTGGATGTTGCACTCGCAAAGGAGCTTCGATCGACACGAAATTGTTGTTTCTCCTTTTCCGTGAGCAGCAAATGGCCAAACCTGCAACCCACGACGATGTGGGCGCCTTGATTGCATACGTGCAGCGGGTGCTCATGACAGGTTTGTATCCTGATACTCAGTGGAATGGTGCTCCTTGGCCAACGAATGGTGTGGAAGCTGCTAGGGCTGGAAAACCGTTTGCTGGAGGTTGGCGTGCATACTTTGCAGCTTTCAAGGCAGATCTCGAAGCTCGGGTTTTGGTCCACAAATTGGTGAGGTCTTGGAACTGCAACAGCATTTGCGAACATTGCCTTGCTTCCAAATTGCCTGCGCTCAGCTATGGAGATTTCATTGATGGAGCTGCGTATATGCAGTATATGCTGAGTCACGATGAGTTTCTGGAGCTGAACCCACCAGGCCGGCAGTCAACTTGGATTGCTGTGCCCGGGTGGACAAAAGACAGAAACCTCGATGTGCCGTGGATTTTCAAGCTTTTGTGTGTTTTGGTTTTTGAAACGTGAAGTGGACTCAAAGGCCCTTTTCTTTATGGTTTCAACTACATAAGTGGGGGAAGCAAACATGTAGGAATGGATGCCACACGCAAATCGGCCAACCAAGGATGTGCTGCATGTGGTACATCAGGGAATTGGTCCTATCCTGATCGGATCCTTGCTGTCGGACCACTACGAGCAGCTGCACGACTACAAACTTACATTGAAGCAGCTGGACCATTTGTTGCAGAACGATGCTTGGCCGCACTACAAGAAATGGATGCGAGAGCGGAAGTTACCAAGCTGCAGCATGCAGTTTTCCTTGCTTCGCATTGGACGGGAGACTTGGCAACGCTATCCAGAAATGGCATCCTGTTACAAGGCAGCTGTTCTAAAGGCGATGCTTTATTGGATTGCATCGTTTCTTCTTGAACACATGCGTGATGATCAACCAGATTCGGTCTTGAGGGCCGACGTGGCCCATGCCATGGTGCAATTCCACTACGTGCAGGACTCCAATGGGCCGTGGCTCACACCGCCAACAACGGGAGAGATGGCTTTGAGTGGGCGAAGGTTCTTGCTGCTGTACCAGCTGCTAGCAGTGCAAGCGCAACGAGCCGAGCGTCATCTTTATAAACTGGTCCCCAAATTCCATGTGTTTTTGCACATGTGCCTGCGCCTACCTCACGAGCTGCGGAATCCCAGATACGATCACCTCCACATGGAGGAAGATTTCATGAAAGAAATCGGTCGCATAGCATCGCGAACGCATGCGCGAACAATGGGATCGGTAACATTACTTCGTTATCGGGCCTTGTTGGAATGCGGAGGTTTAGGGCCTCACAAGCAGGCCAAGAACCCTCACAGCTACCTGTGAAAGGCAATGTTTGTGACAGTAATTACGTCCTTGAAGATAACTAAAGACCCTGAGCCCCAACCCTAAGACCCAGGAAGCCTTCCGGAGGTAGTGCTTGGATCGGGCTGGGAGCCCGGCCGATGCCGAGCAGAGATCTTGGAAAACGTCCACGACCAGCTCTTTAGGCTTAGGGATTTAAGGCCAGGGCAACGGCTTTGGATTTGTTTTTAACATAGGATTACGGGGTTTAAAAGCCGCGCAAGGCATTTCGGGTCACCGGGATTCTGACCCTTATAATCCTATGTATCCTATATATATATATACATACATACATATATAGATAGCCATTTAGTATGTATTTTAAGTTGTTCTGGCTAAACTTTATAGCCTGGGTTTTGTCCAGGGAAACCCCGGACCGTAAGCCCCCAACCCTACACCTTACTGGAAGTTTTGGGGATTTGGGCTTTGGAGTTCAGTACCTGGGGTTTTGCTTTTCGGAGGGTTGCCCAAGACTTGTGTCGGCCCTAAACGGTTAGAAGTTTCGGGGAAATGAGGTTTGGGGCTTTTTTTATGGATCCTGGGATTTGCCTGGGGCTTCGTCGGATTTATCACCCCAAGAACCCGAAACCCGGAAAGACAAGCCGACCCGATTTCCAGAATCGAACACACTAGCACAGGCACAACGTTACACTTCGAAACACCCAAGCCTCAGACGACTCCAAATCTGTAAAGTTCCTGCAGTGTACAATTGAACCCGATTGCAGTATGTTGCACAGCCTGAAAAGATAGCTGGCCCGCAGCCTTAGCCCCTGAACCCTGAACCTTAAGCCTTAACCCCTGAGCCTTATTATAAGCCCCAAACCCAAACCTTTCCCTGAACCCTAAGCTTTAACCCTAAGCCTTAAACCCTATAAGCTTTAAATCCTGATCGCCCTAAACCCTAAGCTTTAACCCGATCCACTAAACCTTTATGACCCTTTAGCTCGAGGATCTCCAAACCCGACACTTGTCTATGTTCTGTAGATTGTCTGTAGTCGTTTATGGGCTGTTTGAGCATATATGTTGTAAGGTGGACTGAGCTTTATACTTCCCCCCACATTTGAAATCTCACTGTACCCCGAAGCTCCAAACCGAAACTGATATCTCACTGTGCCCGACACCAAAACACGAAGCCAACTCAGGTAACTTAAGTACGATTCCAACTATATTTTTCTAAACTATATAGACCAAACCCTAAACCTCAACACCCTAATCTTTTTTTGACTTTTTTTCGATGCGGCTCAAACGAAGTAGCCCCCCAGGGGCGGGGGCAGGCATGCAGGTGGCATGCAGGACGAATGCAGGTGACCCTGACACATGCAGGTGTCATACACGAGCTATTTGGGTTTATCCCCGGTGAGTTTTTCCAGCTTGCTTCCTGGCAAGGGCCAGTGCGGATGCATTGAAAACAAGATGCCTGATTTCGGATGTACCAGCTCGAAATCCATGGCCCTAGGCCGGATTCTCGCGCTCTCGCGAACGGCTGATTCTCGCGCACGCAAAATCTGTTCTCGCACGCAAGCTTAAGTCTAAGTACGTTGGGCTGTGTAGGCAGCGGGACGTGCGGGTTCGGGTTCAGGACCACGTGAGCTCGATTACGGCGGGGGCGGTGGCGCCTTCTTGGTCCGCACCCAGGGGTTTGCCTTGAACAAGGCCTGCTGACGACGAACTCGGCCCTGGCCCTGAAGGAGCTTCTCCGGTTCCGCCGCACCCACTGCTTTGATGTCCGCGAGGAGGTTCTCCCTCACCCGTGGGCCCTTTTCCCCCTGAGGAATCGTCCGTGTAGTGGGCCCCATACAGGCCCCGCGAAGCTCCTTTTTGCTGCCGACGGTACCCATAGGGAGGCCCCTTGTGATCGCTAGGTCGGCGTTCATGTCTCCAACGCCGGTGTTGTCGTCCCCACCCGCATCTCATGCACCAGGCGTCTCCCCAGTACTGGTGGTGCCCACACTGGCGGCAGAACCTCAGGACCCGACCACAGCGGATGCGAGGCTCCTGATCTCCGGGCCAGAAGACTCGGTGTCTGGACCAGCACGCGAACCCTCACTCTCTCCCGCCGGCGAGGTCAAAGGCTCCCCAGCTTTGGGCCTATTAGGGCCGGTGTCGTAAAAGGAGGTGCCCCAACAACCCTTGTCCTTTCCCTTCCTGAGGAGCTCGGTCCGGGCCCACGGCCTGGTGGCGGTGACGCCTTGCCGGTGCCTTTGCCAGGAGGAGGTGGTGCCGAAGAAGAGCTCGAACTCGTTTGAGGGGCTTTGGGCGGAGGCGCCTGGTTCCACCAGCCATGGTGTAGGGCGGTGCCGCCAGAGCCTCCATCCGGGGCTGAACTCTGTGGCGGAGGCGCCGTTCCACCCGTCACACCCACGCCCAGTACAAGGGTCAGGCAGGATCCTGTCGCAGGTAACGCCTCGGCATGTTACACTCCATCACAGGCTTTTGTATGTTTCAGCTGCGCAGGAGCTCCTTTGGCCCAAACGTATTGTGCTACTGATTTCACGAAGCACGTAGTGCTTTCCTCTCGAGCCATAGGCTTTTGTGCGGCTCTCCAGAGCCCGATCCTTGCAGCTCTCAGAGCAGTGTGAAAAGCGAGCCGAGTGATTGTGTCCGTCGGATCTTCAAGCTTCCAGTGTCACTGGTGATTTGCCAGTGACATTGGTAGCGGAGCTTCGATCCGGGCTCCCTACCGCTGTGAGAAGCTCACGGTGAGTGTGCGCTGGTGTTTGAGGTTCCCGACGGTGCCTACGACTATTCGCTGTTCAACGTCCTCTCGGGTGAGATTCCCCGACAGGGAGCCTAGGTACCTCATTGCGTCCCTCCTCGGTGGCACTGCAACAAATTCATGAATTCAGGTGACAAAGATTCGTCTTGGTTGAAGTGCCAGTGGAACGGCGATCCGGGAGGATGGGCAGATTTCTTACGATGTGTCCGTCTCGCCTTCGAGAAGACCTCGAGACGGAAGAGACATCTGCTGGGTCCTGAAATAGTGGGCCAGCTCAGTGGCCGCGCATGGGTGGTGACTCAAGAACTTGATCACCGTCAGCTTGTTCGTCGTGATGGTGTTGTGTATTTGATCGAATTCCTTAGAGATCGACTTTGCAAAACGCCGATTCCTGATGTGGGGCTTCGTCTCGAACAACTCATGATCCGCTTAAGGCGTCACCCTGGCACGAGCATGGCGACCTGGGCAACCCAGCTCAGAGATGCTTACCGGCAGCTTCAGCTTGCCCTTGCGAGAGCCCGGAAAGGACCACGAACTATCTCCTCTCCTTCGCCGACCAGCACTCCTACCAAGACCCGCTCTTCGCGTCGTACCAGCCAAGGAACCTTGGAGGAACCGCATGCCGAAGAACCAACGGAAGGAGAGCAAGATGAAACGGAGACGCTGCCAGGAGCTCCTGATGATGACGAGCTCCGCCGTGATGAAGAAGTGCTTCCCTCCTCTCCAGCGTCAAGGACTTCTGAGTCTCGACCTCCTCGACGAAAGCGTCGAGACAGCGATAGCGATGACAGTGTAAAGGCTCTTGCTGACCTGGAAATCTGGAGTCGCTGCGAGGAGAAGCTAGAGGAAGTCTTGCCCTCGGAGCTCCTCGGATGGCTGCTGTTGCGACGAGCGGGCTTGACTGCCCAAGCTCGCTTGAGTGTCCAGGCGGCTGCTGGCAACTCGCTGAAGCTCGATCGAGTCGAGGGGGCGCTTCGTGGCATGGAGGACGAGCTGTTGGCTCAGGAGCAAACCAGGACTCCTCATCCTGCGGGCCGGCGTCGATCCTTCTGGGTGGAAGATGAAGGTCACTGGAGTATTCTGCTCGCGGATGACGATGACCTCAGCGAGAGCCTGGAAGGAATACCCACGCACTATGTGGGCGACGAGAATGCCTTCAACGTCTGGGCTGAGGACGAGGAGTACGGTGACGAGAGCTGGACAGGCAGCTCCGATGGCGCCTACTGGGGCGACGAGTGGCATGGCTGGACTCCGGAGGAGGACCCCGCCAACATCCTCACTGCCGAGGAACTTCAGCAAGTTGAGGAGGCTTACCAGGCAGCGGACTCCAAGCTTCGGACTTTCGTTGATGCCAGGAAAGCTGTTCGAGCCCGCCATCTGAGTCGAGGTTTCTACCCCTTTGCCCCGCAGAACAAAGGGTTTCGTTCCCAAAAAGGAAAAGGCAAGATGCGTTCCTTCCCGAAGGGCAAGGGCAAAGGAAAGAAAGGAGCTACGCCAACTTCACCTGTGGCCAACATGTCGGTGCCTGTGTTGATGAGTGAGAGCCCGACCTTTGCTGTGAGTCCTGGACAGGCAGGTTACAGTGGGTGTTTCATTTGCGGAGACAGGAGCCACCAGTTTCGCGACTGCCCCAGGCGCTCAACAAAAGGACCTGCAAAAGGAAGCGGCAAGGTCCACTTCCATACGGAACCTGAGGTGTACATGGTGCAGGCGACTCCGTCGATGGCGACTACAGCTTCTTCGACTTCCCCAATGGCTACTAGGCCAGCTTCTTCGACTTCCCCGATGGCTACTACAGCTTCTTCGACTTCCCCGATGGCTACTACTGCTTCTCCGACTTCTCCGATGGTTTCCACAGCTACTTCGACTTCTCTGGCAATGTCTCCAGCTTCTGGGTCGTCCGTGATGTTTGAGCAGAGAACAGACGTCCGACAGGTTCCGATGGTCTATGAGGACACGACGGTGGACGTGCCAGATATGATCCTGGTCCAAAAGTCAGCATCTGGGTCTTGCATGGACGGTTTTGCGGTGTTGGATTCAGGTGCTACAGAGACAGTTGGAAGTTTGCCAGCTTTGGAGTCCCTGATGTTAGCCCGGTACGAAGTTACGAGTCAGGTGGAAGAAGTAGCGGTCACGAACGCTGCACCCAAGCGCTTCAAGTTTGGAAACGGGTCCCACGACATGTCTTCTTCGCACATTCTGTTGCCGGTCACTCTTGGCACTCACCAAGTTCCCATGGGTATCTACACCTTAGATGTGGAGGGAGTGCCGCTGTTGATAGGCATAAAGACTTTGCGTCGGTTGCGGTCAGTGATCGATTGTCATCGTGATATCCCGGTCATGGGAGCCGTGGATCCGAACCGAGGCATCCAGCTGCAGCGCAGTGTGACAGGTCATTTGCTGTTAGACTTGAGACAGGACCTGATGGTTCACTCCTTTAGTCTGCTGGAACCTCGCGCAAGAGTCGCTTCACGTGTTCTTCCGCATCGAGAAGAAACAACTTACATGGTGCAGTCAGTTGAACATGATGAGGTGCCTGCAAGTGAAGCCGATGCGTCCATGTGTTCACCAGTTCCTGATGCTGCGCTTCTAGCGAGTGACCCTCCTAGTGTATGTGCTCTCGACGATGAGGTTCCGGTGAATGCCGATGCGTTCCGGCTCGAGGAGACGGACTCTGAGTCCATGTATTCCAATCGCATTTTGCTTCACCTCCTCGCTCTTCATGGCGCATCGGCAGCCGGAAGCAGCGGCGCCACCTCCTTCGAAGAGCATCGACAAGAACGAGGAGCAATTCGTGACCTCCGGGAAGGAGGCGGTCAAGGCCAAACCGAAGAAAGGGGGCTACAAGTCCCAGCCGCTCGACTGGGATCGCACGGTCGAGAGCGATCCCCGCGATCCTCGCCACAGTGGCCCTCCGTGCAACGGGGAACATGTTCCAGCCCGGATGTTCAAGGGCAGTCCTTCAGGTTCGAATCAGTACGGTCAATGGACAGCCTGCGAACGTTGTCTTCTGCGTCTGTCTTACACACCACGGGCAGGATGTCATGCTCTCCACCGCTCCCCGGGAGCCCTGCCGAAGGACGTCCAGTTGGCGGTCAAGGAGGAGCTGCCCAATCTGACCACATTGAAGGACAAGGACATTGGATGGGCGGCTGCGGAGAAGAGCGCCGAGGACAACTTGATGCGTGTGCGTCAGGCTCGGATGAGCCAACAGGCCGGGCAACGTGGGGCAGCGCCAAAGCGACTTGCCCAGAAGGACCTAGGTCCCAAGGCTTCCCCGGCAACCTCAGCGCCTCCGACGAGCTCTCCGACTCCCACCTCGCCGACCAGCTCCCTGGGGACATCAACTGTAGTGGTGGACGTGGAAGAAGTGAACGAGGGCATGCATGCGCATCCGGGCCGGAAGGCAGTGAAACGCAACGAGGAGGCAGCGGAGGAACTGGAGTACAATCAGCGCAGCAGCGGCAACCAGTGAGTTATGCTCTTCTGGAGAACGAGGAGATGATCGAGAACCTCGCGGCCTCCTACGTGCACGAGCGGGCCTACTCCATGGCGACGATGGAAAATTTCCTGAAGCAACTTCGAGCGGCGCATGCTGTGCCACAACGTAAGTTCATGGACAAGAAAACAACCACTTCCTTTGTGGTGAGCTATGGGTTGTACGCGCATGGATCTCAGTGTGGTGTCATGAACTCCACGTTCCAGAACCCTCAGCTCTGCAAGTACGTCAACCAGTGGCTTCAGGCGTGGGCTCCATCATCCGCCCATTGGACCACGTTTTCGATTGTGTACAACATGGAGTCCAAGCCTCATCGCGACCTCCACAACTTGAAAGGACAGCCGAACTACGTGATCACTTTCGGCGAGCATGAGCATGGAGAGTTGTGGTTGGAACGAACCCCGGAGGACTCTGTCACTGGGGAGGTGCGACGTCGTAAGAAGCCAAATGGATCCTTGGCCAACGGGCAACTCTTGTCGCCTCACCACCAAGTGATTTCTTTTGATGCGGACCAATGGCATGCTACCATGCCCTGGCGAGGAACCCGCATAGCGTTGGCAGCCTACACGGCCCGCTCCTTCCGAGGCTTGGATCCTGAACTTCGACGTGCTCTACTACAAGCCCTGTTTGGGCAGTGAAACGAACCAAACGAATTGTTCCCTGGAGGCCTGGGGGGGTGGGGGGGATGGCAGGGGCGCGGCGGCTCTTTCAGTTGTACGCCCGGCCACTGCGGCTTCGGACCACAGCCATGTTGTCATGCAGTCTTCAGTTCTGTCAGTTACACTTATGTTCAGTCATGTCAGACATGTCAGTGCTTGCATGTTTTTCAGTCTCTTTTAGGCATGTCGGTTTGAGTGCATTTTCAGTTGGCCTTTTTCTTTGGCCACGAAACCTTTTCAGTTTTGCCTTTGACTTTTCGAACAATCTCTGGAGAGCTTTTGCGGAATCTGATCTTTGCATCCGACACATTGCGGACCAATCGGGAGGGGATCTTAGAAATTTTAGTTACGGGGGGGCGCCTTTCAGGCTTCTTCGCGCAATGGCATTATATGATGGAGGATAGGCTCTGGAATCTTCTTGAAGATACCGGCTGCATTTGCGTGAGGGAGCTGCGTTTGCATTTTGATACTCCTTGGCACCTGGCCTGCTCAGTGGACAGCTTAGAGGATTCAGTGGTCCTGGCCGAGCAGATCCTTCCTTCTGCCGTGTCCTCAGACCATAAGAGAGCTGGCGCTCTTATTTGGGGCTGGCTCCGGGATCAAACTGACTTGTTGAAGCGGGTGCAAGGTAGGCTAAAGACGAAGGCTACGAGGATTGTGGCGCCTCCTTGTGGTGATGTTTCTCCTGGTGAGGTTTATGCACAATTGGTGAGCGGCAGCCTTGAGTTAACGAAGCAGACCAGTCGGGCTCATGCGAGATGGATCTCGAGTGGGGCTGGTACGCCAGCTGATGCTGAGAAGGCTGCTAGAAAGTTCTGGGGTACAGTCTTGGTGCAAATTATGGTGGAGGCTAAGCTTCCCATCGTGGATATTCCGGTTGAAAGTGAAGAGCAAAGGGTTCTGTATGCTTTGAGGGCCTTGGGTACCCGTCGTTCGAAGACTTTGAGGAACCGGGCACGAGCTTGGCGCAAGGCTCGGGACTGGATGCTCTCTGTGAAGTCAGTTGCTTTCCCGCGGCGTCCGAGTGACGTTGTGGACTATCTCCTCTTCTTGGAGCAGGAGGTGGGCACCAAGAGCTGTATTTCGGAGTTTATGAGCGCTCTATCTGTTCTGGAGGATGCAGGACAGGTTCCTTTGGCCAGCCAGTTGTGCAAGGACAGATTGGTGGTTGCTGCCTCGAAGAGCTCAGAGGCAGAAGTTCATGTGGGGGTCACGAGCAAGAAGCAGGCGGCCCCCTTGTCGGTGGCAATGCTGCTTTCTTTGGAGATTTTTGTGGTATCCAGCGGCAACCCATTATATGCTAGATGCCTTATGTGGGCCTGTCTGGTGTGTGTCTGGGCTTGCATGCGTGTGTCCGATCTGCAAGGAATTGACGTTTCTAGACTTAGGCTTTTTCGTGATGGGCTTAAGGGCTTCTTAGTCAAGACCAAGACAACCGGTCCCGACAAGAAGGTGGCTGAGGTTCCCTTCTTTGTGGGTCGGGATGTGGGGTTGTCTGGTCGTGATTGGCTGCGCTCGGGTTTCGACTTGTGGAAGGGCTTTGGGCAGCTGGACAGGACTTTCTTGGTGTTCCAGTCATCCGAAGATTTTGAGGAGCCGATTTTCAAATTTGCGAAACCGGAGGTCATCAGCAATTACATGCGTTTGATCTGGCGACAGCTGAAGGTCCCTTTTCGCAAGATTGGTGAACACGTGTGGAAATCGAGAGCTGAGGGGGCCCTCCTTGGTGACGAGTGTTATTTGTTCTGGACGGGCCATAGCATGCGTCATGTTCTTCCAACCATTGCTGCTGTTCTGGAGGTTCCGAAGGAGCGGCGCGATTACTTAGGTCGCTGGCACATTGGTCTGCATCAGAGTTCTGATTACATCCATACTTGCCGTCAGATTGTGCATGACATTCAGCGCCGTGTATGCGACAAGTTGTCGGGTGGCAAACCCGGGTACGACGAGGAAGAGTTGTTTGAGGAGCTGCGCGAGTGGCTCCGCGATCGGGGTTCTGATCCGGATCCGTGGTTGAAGCTTCATGCTGTGATGCGCACCGTTTCTGGCTGCAAGGTATTGAATCAGACTTGGCCTTTATTGGCCGATTTCACCGACGGGACGGACAACGCTGCCCCGGCCCCGCCGGTTTCGAACTCATCTCAGACTGATAAGGAATCTCCTTTCTGGGTTAGCATCAGCAGGCATTCCGGTCATCGTCGGCTGCACATTAGGAATGGCTGCTGGGTCACTCCGAGCAGTTGCCACCGCTTCGCCGAGGTTTGGGAAGCCGGACCGAATGTTGCTGATAGCTTCTGTAAGCTCTGTTATAAGGAGAAAGTGGATCCGTCCTCGAGTTCGGGGGAATCTTCGTCGACCGAGCTCGGGGAGCCGACTGAGGATAGTGGGGCCCCGGATTTGAGTTTTCACACCTGAGATCAGACTGTCAGATTCGCGTGCCAGTGCAAAGGGGTGACAGTTTGCCTCAGTGCTTTCAGTGCCCTTTTGCCGCGTGCTGTCAGTGCTATCAGTTGCGGTGGCGGGAGCAAATCAGATGTTTGAAATGGGCAGTTTTCTGCTCAGTACTTCACGTTGTGAATCTCAGTCGACATTACTATACGAGCCACTCTCAGACTTTCAGTGCTCCTTTGGGGCTGTCAGATTTCATTCGTTCAGTACTGTCAGTCTTCAGCTTCGCTCGCCTCGGAGCGACAATGGCGGCCGATCCTGCGGCACAGCGTCAGTTCTTGAAAGATAACGTCGATGCCGACTTTATCTTCCTTCTGGAAGAGCATGGTGTTGACTTAGCGCTGCAGTACGCCATTGGTCAGCATTACAAGAGTATCAGGACATTTGCCGCCTTTGCCGATGATAGGGGGGCGGCTCGGACGGCCATCACCGCGGACTTCGGCGTTCGAGCTGAGAGTGCGGCAGATCGTGCTAGGATGGCGTGTGTCATCACTTCGTGGGAAGCTTCCAAATTGATTCGCGAGGAGGAAGCTAAGCTTCGGGCTGAGGCATAAGGTGTTGGGGGTCCAGAAGCCCCTCGTCTCTTCCGATCGAGCGGCTATGCGAGCTGCTTTGGAGGCGGTAAGGGGCTACTCTGTTCCAGAATCTGAGGAGCCTGCACCGGAGTACCTCGCACACAAGCTTGAGCAGATTGAGAATGGCGAGCCCACCGCTAGTTATCTTGATGAGGTTATTTCACGTAAGGAGTCCAACTCTTTGCAGCTTCAGACTTCACTTGACAATCAGGGCCGCCTTCGTGTTATGCGCCAGAAGCCCAAGGGGAAGCTCCCACAGAACACTGAGGAACTCCGAGCAAAGATTCGGCTCGAGGCATCAACATGGGTGATGTTGGCCGCGAAGTGTCGCGGTCGTGCCTATTTGCAGGGATTGCAGTTGTCACATTTCGATCGTTTCTTGGAATATCTTCTGGGCGACAAGTGCTACAGCATGCAAGTCGCATCGGCGGCTCCCATGAGTTCTTCTGCACATGCTGATCGTCACACTTTGTCTGTGCCCTGGAATATCTTGCTTCAGTATGAGTTCGAGCTTCGTAAATGGGCCATCAAGGAGGCACATCGTTTGAGTGCCCCGCTCGGTGACAAGCTGCATGAGGCTACCACCAACACCGAGCTCAAGGAGCTGCATTTTACGTCTCAGGTGGCATTGTCTCGACGCTCGACCGGCGCCGACCCTCCGCCACCAAAGTGGCCCCGCAAGGGTGACGGCAAGAAGGGAGAAAAGGGCGGAAAAGACAAAGGTGGCAAGGACGGAAAGGGCAAGGCCGATGGCAAGATCAAAATCGGCGAGTCATGGTTCGATCTGGTCTCGAAAACGCCGGACGGACGTGAGTTGTGTTACGCTTACAACATCAAGCGTGGGTGTCAGGTCAAGGGATGTCAGAGAGTTTACGCGTGCAGAGTCAAGGGTTGCCAGGCGAACCACCCGGCATACCAGCATGGCGCGCAGGGCGGCTCCTGACTTCGTCGTGATGAGTTTAATTCAGTTTCGGATTCCACTTCGGGTGTGCGCCCTTCGCTGCGGGTCCTCTACTTATTTTCTGGTCCTACTCGAAAGGCGGATGTTCGCGCCTGGCTGGAGGTCCTATGCACGTCACAGAACATCATTTTGGAGATGTCCGAAGTCGACATCTGCCGTGACCCAAGTATGGATTTGCTGGACTCTGCAGTGGCTGATCGGTGCTTGCTTCAAGTCCAAAATTCGGAGTGGGACGTGGTCTTGGTGACTCCGCCCTGCAATACCTTTTCTCGGGCACGATGCGTACAGCCGGGTCCTCGGCCACTGAGATCACGTATTTACCCTGCGGGTTTTCCTTGGCTTTCAGACTCACATCGTGCTGCAGCGGATAATGGCAATCAGTTCGTTTCCTTTTCTTTTCAGATCTGCACAGCTGCCCTTTCGAATTCTATTCCTTTTCTGTTGGAGCACCCTGAAGATCTGGGTATGACAACCACCGGTCACACACCGGCTTCTATTTGGCAACTTCCAGAAGCTGCTGCACTTTTTAAGCACGAGCAGGTCGTGACTTTTGCGATCTATCAGTGTCACTACGGAGCCCACACGCCGAAACCCACCAGGTTTCTTTCTTCTATCGCAGCCACCTTTGGCATGCGGTTCATGGGGCCTCCTCATCTTGATTCTGCCGATAAGTATCTGGGGCCTCTGCCCAAGTACTGTGGCCACCGGCATTCCAATCGCCTTTTGGGTGCCGCTAACACTGCTGCTGCTGCCGCCTATCCGCCTGATTTATGCAAGGCTATCGCTTCCTGGACCTTCTCCGTCTTCGATGGGGGAGGAGGTGCACCCTCGGTGGCTACGGTTCCCGAATCTGCTCACTGCTTTCAGTTTCCGGCTAGGGAGGTTGAGGTTAAAGTGAGTTCTTCACAGGCGGAACAAATGGCTGCGGCCTGCTTGGGAAAGGGTAGGATCGCTCGGGATCAACTTCTCCGCCTCTCAGAGCTCCTGCCGGATGAGGATAGAGTCAGGCAGTCCAGCAGAGAAGTCAGTGGCCAGCGATCTTTCACGACGGGCGCTTACACCCACCAGGACAAGGTGGGGCTCAGGCGCAACATTGAGGTTTTCCCTCTGGCATCGGAGCTGCTGGCACGCCTCGTGTCTTGCGGTTTCCCTGATTGCGTCTTCACTTCATTAGCATTCTTTCGTGACCTTAAGCAGCCCCCCCATAAGGACACCACGAATGGTCCATTCAACAATTTGTTGCTGGCCTGTTCGGAGTTTTCGGGAGGGGGCCTCTGGGTTCAGTCTGAGGGAGGCCCGGTTTCTCGTTTTATTAACGGCTCCTGGACCCCTGGACGCATACTGGAATGGGACGGGGGCAAGATTACCTTCGATCCCCATGTCTGGCATTGCACTGAAGATTGGAGGGGCTGCAGGCTGGTCTTGGCTGGCTATACCATTGCGAATGACGACCGACTTTCTCCTGCCGACAGGGATAAACTTGGATCTATGCACTTCGAGCTTCCGGGCAAACGTAAGAGGGGATCGGCTGATTTCTTGATCGACACGGAGGAGGTTGCGACGTTACCTGAACAGGATGACATTCCATTCAGTGAACTGAAGTCTGGTTGCGAAGGGCCACCGATGGTGGGGGATTTCGCTGGGTCCTCGGATGAGTTCGTCGATGGGTTTGGTCGCTGCTCTCCTGGTCGGTGGAAGCCATGCAACCGGGGCACGACGATGTCCGCTGAGGCCTTAGACTTTGCGCAGCGCTTGAAAGAGAGGGTCAGGATGTTCGTCGTGGAGTGTGTTCCGGACTTGGCGAAGTCGACTTTTCGTCTGGCGACGGGACACTGGAACGGGCCGCTCTTTGACCAGGGTCGCTTGGAAGAACTGAGGGAGGACTGGTTCAACATGCTGCCTGATCCCATCCGGGCTCGGGAGATGATTCCTCATCAACCCTTCTACTTGAGGGCGATTTCGCAGACTCTTCGGATTCTTGGAGACCCGGACTATCGCATCATCGAGGAGGGGAAGTTCTGCTTCGTGAACGGTGTCGAGGTGGGACACACGGCGCCATTGGGGCCAGTGCCTCAAGTGTTCCGGATCCGCAGAAAGGATCAGAAGTACGATGAGTCAACTTGGCAGCCGTTGATGCAGAACTATCGTGATGGGGCTGAAGTCGAGAAGGCCTTGGAGGAGGCTTTCACCAAAGAGGAGGCAGAAGGACGCATGTTCCCGCTTTCTTTGGCGGAGGCGAAAACACGCTTCCCTGGCCCTGCGCTTCGCATTGCCGCTCAAGCGGTGATTCCGAAACCTGACCATGAATTCCGTGTGGTCCATGATGGGACCCACGGGGTTCACGTCAACAATGAGATTGTTATGCTTGACCGTCTTGAATCGCCTGGACCGAGGGAGATTTCTTCGATTCAGAAGCTGGGCATGGTGGCAGAAGAGAAAGTCCTGTTCGGGCTTGTGGGAGACGTGAAGAAGGCGCACAGGCGATATTTGCACCACCCAGAGCATTGGGGGGTGCTCGCTTGTAGAACGCGGAGCGATTCATCAGTCGTATGGCTTAACCGCACAGGAACTTTCGGAATTGCTTCGGCGGCCTATTGGTTCGCCCGCTTGATTGGTTTGGTGGGCCGCTTGTCTCTCAGAGTTATGCTTCAGGCTTTTGTTTTCATGCTTATTTATGCAGACGACCTACACCTGCTCAGCGGCGGTTCAGATCGATGGCTCAACCTCTGGATGTCCCTTGCCCTTTTGTGCATGCAGGGCACACCCTTCTCGGAGAAGAAGTGGCGCGGGGGACTGCAACTTGATTGGGTCGGTTACTGGATTGATTATGGCCGCTTTAAGCTTGGGATTTCGGAGAAGAGATGCCAGTGGATCATCCGATCGATTGAGGGCATGGAGGGAGACGGCTGGCTTGTGGACGTTCGCCGTTTCCACGAACTCCATGGCCGGCTAGGATTTATGTCGCAAATCTTGATATGGATCAGACCCTTCCTCGCGCCGGGCTACGCATGGCTAGCGGTAGTCAGCAAAGGTGCGGTATTGGCACTGCCCAACTTGATCCGCTGCACCCTGCGATTCATTCTTGATCGGCTCCGCGCAGGTTCACGAACGTATCCTGCGGGGCTGGCGGATAAGGATTATGGGGAACTCTTCAGAACCGACGCTGCTTGCAACTCTGACTCTGTGGTTCTAGGTGGTTGGTTCCTTGTCAGGGGTGTTGTCTGTAAATCCGCTCCTTGGTTTCAGATTACGCTTCGTTGTGAAGAAGCCCCTTGGCTCTTCAAGGAAGGTCTTGGGAGCTCCTGGGCCAGTACCTCTGCTGAACTGCTATCCTCGTTGGTAGCGCTTCATCTGCTGGAGAGGGATTTTCCCGAGGTGTTTTCATGTCCTGGCTCTTTCAGGGCCTGCTTCGCTGGTGGAACAGACAACAAGTCGGCGGATGCCATTTCTGCCCGACTTCTCACGACAAAGGTTCCTGTGATGTTTGTGCTGATGGAATACGCTCATCGCTGCGACTTGGCCGGGGTCAGATGTCTCTTGAACTGGAGGCCGCGTGATGCGAATCAGGAGGCAGATAGGATCACGAAGAATGATTTCTCAGATTTCTGTCCGGACCTTCGGGTCGCTGTCAGCTGGAGTGAGTTGAACTTCTCAGTGCTTCCGTCTTTACTTCGATTCGCGAACTTTCAGAGCACTCTGGAGGATGCGCGTGCCTCTGCTTCTGGCGAAGGACAATCTCCTTCTCGCATTCGTTTCGAGAAGAGTCAGTGGGGCTGAGGCACATGACGATGCCTCTTCGTTGAGTGGGGATTGATGCTTTCGGCATCGTCTCCCAAAAGTTTCATATGCATGACTGGTATGGGCTGTGCGATCCAAAACATGTCGTTGCGCGTTCTTGCTTCCATCCCCAACATCCCGAACCCCAAACTCTTGAACCTTTGAACTTTTAGCCCTTCGGGCTTTTGGGAATGTTTAACTACGCCTCCAGGGTACAAGCCCTGTTTGGGCAGTGAAACGAACCAAACGAATTGTTCCCTGGAGGCCTGGGGGGGTGGGGGGGATGGCAGGGGCGCGGCGGCTCTTTCAGTTGTACGCCCGGCCACTGCGGCTTCGGACCACAGCCATGTTGTCATGCAGTCTTCAGTTCTGTCAGTTACACTTATGTTCAGTCATGTCAGACATGTCAGTGCTTGCATGTTTTTCAGTCTCTTTTAGGCATGTCGGTTTGAGTGCATTTTCAGTTGGCCTTTTTCTTTGGCCACGAAACCTTTTCAGTTTTGCCTTTGACTTTTCGAACAATCTCTGGAGAGCTTTTGCGGAATCTGATCTTTGCATCCGACACATTGCGGACCAATCGGGAGGGGATCTTAGAAATTTTAGTTACCCACCCTACCCGCCCTTTTAGTTCTCGTTTTCAGGACTGTTCAAAACAGCCCATACATACAGGGGGATTGATGCTTTCGGCATCGTCTCCCAAAAGTTTCATATGCATGACTGGTATGGGCTGTGCGATCCAAAACATGTCGTTGCGCGTTCTTGCTTCCATCCCCAACATCCCGAACCCCAAACTCTTGAACCTTTGAACTTTTAGCCCTTCGGGCTTTTGGGAATGTTTAACTACGCCTCCAGGGTACAAGTGTCTTTTCCATTGCCACGACTTTCAGCCTCGGCCTTGAGCGTTTGTGATGATCAGGCCTCGCCGACTGAGACTAGTCACTTGTCGGTGGATGAAAAGCAGGCGATCTTCAATGACTTTGAGGAGTACCAGGACCTCCTGCTTGAAAACTGCGAATCCGAAGATGATGATGCTCGACTGTTCGGGCTTGAGATCTGTTGTGCCACCGCCTCCAAGCTACGTGATGAACTACAGTCTCGCGGCGAACGGGTGCAAACTCTGGGTTTCGCCGAAGGAGGTGATTTGGGCACCAACCATGGGGCCGAGCTGGTGAAGGCCACCATTCTTCGACTACGACCACGGTGGCTGATCTGTCATGTGCCTCTGGGACCAACCCGCAAGAACAAGGAGGATGATATGAGTTCTCCTCCGTGGCGACGCTTCAACAAGGTTGTTCGCCATCTCCTGGAAACTGCTCAGGTGCAAATCGACAATGGAGGAGAGGTCTTGTGGTGCCAGCCGGCTGAAAGTTCAGCCCGCTTCTTGTCATGCGCCCGTGTCTTTTGGTACCAGCACCAACAGCACGCCGATGGCCGGGTGATGAAGTGCGGTGAGACCCACTACAGATCGACCTCTACCACTCTCTTGCAGGGTCTTCCAAGTGTTTCTGAGACCCCTCCTGACCTGGAGAAGACGGTGGCTAAGATCATGCAGCAGGTGATCCGGTATGAGGCCGTGTTCTCCTTTGTCGGTGCAGTGGACATGTCCGTTCTGGAGGGCATCTCCTCTAAAGAGCTTGGCGAGCTGATGGAAAGAGTGCACCGATTGCACTCCCGACTGGGACATCCCTCTAACCGACTGCTGGTCAAGAATCTCCAGGCCAGACATGCTGACAAAAGGTTGATTGCTGCTGCCTCACAACTGAAGTGTGATGCCTGCCTGGAGAGTCGAATCAAGGCTCCACGACCTCCTGTGGATCTGTCGAGATCCGACCGTCTCTGGACCGACCTCCAAATGGATTTGTTCCAAATGAAGATCGATGACCGGATCTACCACTTCCTCCTCTTTGTCGATGAGTGCTCAGGCTATGCGGTGATTCGGCTGGTGTTCGACCACTCCGTCAACAAAGGTGGCAATGCAACCTCGGCGCAAGTGTGCCATCTCTTGGAAGAAGCTTGGACCCAGTATTTTGGGTTCCCAGAACGAATCAAGCTGGATGCTGAGAGTGCCTTGCGAGGAACTCTTCTTCGAGATTGGTGCGCCACCAGAGGAGTTGAGCTAGTCCATGCCCCGGCTGAACACCATCAGTTCATCAGTGAGGTGGAACGATCCATTGGAACTTTGCGCCGAAAGATTGAAACTTTCCTTCGAGAACGGCCTGAACACCCTCGCCAGGTGGCTTTGTCAATGGTGACTTCGCACAACAGCCTGGCCAGAATACACGGCTTTTCGCCGCTTCAGTGGGCATTAGGTCGTGATCTGAGTTTGAGTGGACATGTGAATGAAGGAACGGGAGAACTTCCTGCTCTTTCTAGTGCTGGGACGCCGGGTGCTGATCTCCACCAGACGCATCGGATGCGACTTCGAGCTGCACAAGCTTTCTTAGAGTTACGACACAAGGAACTCAGTGATCGAGCAGCCAGGTCATCTGCATCTGCCTATCCTCACTACTTGCCCGGGGATTTGATCTACTATCGCCGCTACAAGACTCCTCAGGACCTCCCTGCCAATATGTCAACGGATCATCCGAGGATGACGATATCTCGCTGGTACGGACCAGCACGGGTCCTGGCCACTGAATCTCGAGGAGCTCCCGGGGAACGACGGCCATCTTCACATCTCTGGGTGATTGCACAAGGCCGGCTGAAGAAATGTCACTACACTCAAGTGCGACCTGCTTCTGAGACTGAGCACTTGATTGCTCAGCAATCCTCCGGCACCACGTTTCCATGGACAATGTCCAATTTGACTTCTCTGTTGAACAAGGGTGCCTACGAGGATCTGACCCGCGATCGCGCAGTATATCCAGATGATCTGGAGTTTCCGGATGAAGATGACCGTGACGATGGACTCCCACCTGGAGCGGATGAACATGTTGGAAATGGTGACCAACTGACGGATCCTTTGTCGGATGAGGAGTTGATTCCCGCGGCGTCTTCTGCTGCTCGGAAAAGGGAAGGGCCAGAACCTGTGGAAGAAGAAGAGATGGTTCCCGACAATGCCGAGATTGACTTGAATAAGCTCTTCAATGACCCCAGTTACATGCCCTTCCAGCCGATTCCGGCGTCAGCTCGGGTGTCGCCTTATCCTCAAGGAAGCTTCCGAGAGCAACGAGCCCGGCATGAACAAGATGATCGTCCGTGGCATGTGCGACGGAACGAGGGTGAATCGTTGTACCATGAGACTGAGGAGGCCGACAAAGTTTTTGCGGTGACCATTGATGCTCCTGCCAATGCTCAAGCTTGGAAGAAGATGGTCAAGCACCCTGAGAAGTTCATGAGCAAGGCCGTTTCCAAAGGAGTGGAGGTGAGCTGGCAGCGACTTTCTGCGGAGCAACGATCCGCAATGGCTGAGGCCAAGAGCCTCGAAGTCGCTCAGTGGGTGCAACTGAAGGTGTGTAAGCGGGTGGCCGAGCATGTTCCGGAGTCCCAACTCCTTCGGATGCGATGGGTCCTGACCTTCAAGGAAGCTGACCCAACGGAAGCTGGAACACCTCAAGTGAAGGCCAAGGCCAGGATTGTGATTCTGGGATACAGTGACCCCGGACTCCTGGAAGACACAACGGCCTCCCCTACGATGTCCAAGTTGACACGTCAGCTGATGTTGAACCTAGCCTGCATACGTCGGTGGGCTATCTACTCAGCCGACGTACGCACAGCCTTTCTACAGGCAAGACCTACCGATCGAGGCCGGCGTCTCCTGGCAAAACCGCTCCCGGAATTGGCCGAGAAGTTGGGGCTCACTCCTCAAGAATGTGTGGAGCTCACTGGCTCAGCCTACGGCTTGGCAACGGCTCCAAAAGAGTGGTTTGCAGATGTGTCATCCACTCTCAAGAAGCTAGGAGCTCTGCAATGCCGAACGGACCCCTGCGCATGGATTGTGCTAGGAGTTGATGGCGAGGTGGCCGGTGCTCTCGCAAGCCACGTCGACGACTTCCTGATTATGGGTAGTGCTACGGATGCCAATTGGCTCCGCTTCATTGCTGCCTTCAAGGCGGCATATACTTGGGCACCATGGCAGCAGGGAGATTTCGTCCATTGCGGCATTCGCATCCTGCAGCACGAGGACGGATCCATGACGCTGGATCACTCCGGGTTCTGTGCCGATCTGGTTCAGATGGATCCTGCAGGTCCTGGAGAAACCATGACCGAGAATCAGGTTCGGCAGGCCAAGGCGATCCTTGGATCTGCGCAATGGCGCGTAACTCAGTCCGCCCCACATCATGCTGCGAAACTGAGCTACCTTCAGACTCTACTGTCCTCCCGGTCCAGCTCCTGTGTGGACCAGATCAACAAATTGGTGCGGGAGATTCATAACGCCAAGCACATTTCTATCTCGGTTCAGAACCTGGGAGACTTTGACCCCAAGACTGCAACGTTCGTGGCCTGGTCGGACGCATCTTTAGCCAATCGGCCTGATGGTACCAGCACAGGCGGACTGTTGGTTGGGATGATGAGTCCCAAATCCATGGAGCTGGGCCAGGGCAAGATCAACGTGATCAGTTGGCGCAGCTACAAGCTACCAAGGGTTGCGAGAAGCTCCTTGTCAGCTGAAGCGCAAGCTCTGAGCAACTGTGAACAAGAACTCATGTATGCACGCCTGGCTTGGTTCGAATTGAACGGTGGCAAGGTTGATGTGAACAATCCTGCGGCAGGAACGTCTCAGGTGCCTGGTCATTTGATCATTGATGCCCGGGGCGTGTATGACACCTTGATGAAAGCCGACCCTGGCATGGCTTCCTTCAATGTGAAGGACAAGTACACGTCATTGGAGCTGATGGGCATCAGTGAGAACCTGCAGAGCCAAGGAACGATCCTCAACTGGTGTGACTCCGATCACCAGTTGGCTGATGGACTGACGAAGTCTGCGAAGCAGGACGTGCTGCAGAAGTTCTTGCTCCAAGGTCATTGGCGACTGCGCCATCCGGGTGCCTTCATGAGTGCTAAACGGCGCCGAGTTCTGGATGGCAACCAACGTTTGGATCCTTCCGATGTACAGCCGAATGTCACCAGCACGCAAGCCTGATCTTACGTGTATAGTCTTTGGGGTGTGTCGCAGGTAACGCCTCGGCATGTTACACTCCATCACAGGCTTTTGTATGTTTCAGCTGCGCAGGAGCTCCTTTGGCCCAAACGTATTGTGCTACTGATTTCACGAAGCACGTAGTGCTTTCCTCTCGAGCCATAGGCTTTTGTGCGGCTCTCCAGAGCCCGATCCTTGCAGCTCTCAGAGCAGTGTGAAAAGCGAGCCGAGTGATTGTGTCCGTCGGATCTTCAAGCTTCCAGTGTCACTGGTGATTTGCCAGTGACAGATCCTGAGGCTCGGGTTGAGGAGGATCTCCTTGGCATTCCCGAGCGCCTGCATGCGGATGGTGGCCATTTCCACCTCATCGGGCGGACTTTTGTCCGGATGTAGGCGGATCGCCGTGCGTTTGTAGGCGCGAAGAACATCGCTCATCGCGCTGCCAGGTGCAAGGCCCAGGAACTCCCACGCGCTGCCCCATTCCTGAATCCAATCTCGGAGTTGGCGGTTCCCCATACCCGTTGGCGGAGCAGCCTCAGCCATGATGCGAGCGGAAGGAGAGGCGGTGCGCCGGGGCGAGCGGAACGCTTGTTGGAGCAGAGAAAGCAACTCGGGAGACATGCGTGATCCAGGTCCCTGAGTGGCACTCGACTGTTTACTACTAGGCGGTGCAGCAGACGCAGAACTTGCAGAGGCCCTACCAAGCTCAGCTTCGGGGGGGAGGAGCCATTCTGGGGTACCTCCAAACCGAAACAGGAACGGCGGGGGGTCAACAATCCCACCGGCTTCAAGCTGTCTACGGAGCCGAACTCTCTGAATGAAAGTGAGCCCAGTGGTCCTCTCAAGGTGTTCGAGGTGGGCCTGACTAGTGGCCCAATTCTCATCGAACAATTCCCTAGAGCTTTCACTGTTGCTACCATCGCTAGAGGGGCCCCCAGCTCTCGTCTCAGCAATTCCACGACCACTGGGGCAAGCATACTGCTGTGGCTGGAGCACAGGGCGGGACGCCAGCATATCTTTAGAGCGACTAGGAGCAGCGGCAAGGTCAGTGTACAGGTAAGCATGGACAGCGTCTGACTTCCAGCCTCCAAACCTCTTAACCACTTCGACATCATTTGTGACAGCGAGCATGGCGGTGGCGCCTCCTTTTCTCAGACTGTGGGAGGCGACAAGGTGAGCTGGATAACCTAGCGCCACCGCAGCCAACCTCAGCAGATCGGAGAGGCTTTCTCGGGAGATGCCTATTCCTTGCCACGCACACACAGGAAGGCTGACATCACTCACCCAAAAGGGATTATGTTTCGCATGTTCCTGTAGCGCTCTGACCGGACAAATCTCCTCCCCAGTGGCATGCTGAAGCCGAACCTTGCCCTCTCCCGAACTGATCCCCTTTAGAATCCCTAAGCTGCAAAGCCACGGAGTCCGCTTCAAACACAGAGCAACGTCTCCCCTCACAAAAGAAATCAATGTCGCTGCCTCGAAGGACTCGGGTGGGGACATTGCAAAGATCCGAACCTGGGAGGTACTCCGAGGCTCTTAGCATGAAAAACCAACCCAGACAAAGGGAGGTCCAAAGGGCTTTTCGCTCTGCCAGGGGGCGGTCCGACCCGTCCAGATACCGCTTTAGCCAGGTCAACATGCTTGGGGTTACCGGAACTTTCCGGACCGGAGCACCATCCCAGCGGTTCATCCCAGCAAGGGCTGCCCATAGCCGGACTCGGCCCGCTAAGGGATCTGGTAGCCGGCCGCGATGTGTGCGTATCGAATCCCAGATAGGCGTTGCTTTATGCCCTGGGCGGTACGCCCCATCACTTGGTGCAGGAAGACCGTGAACCTTATGAGCCAGTCCTCGTCGCGTTGCTTTTCCGCTCGGGACTCTCCTTGTAAGGACGGCTTCCTGCCCAACCTGGTCTAGGAAGGAGACACCACTACCTAGTGACAAGCCGCGGGTCCCGAAGAACTTTTCTCTTTCTTCGCCAAGGAGGACCGGTGTCACCAGCGAGCGATGGGCTGGATCAGCCTTTCTCTTGACCGGTCCACCAACTCGGGTGTCCTCAGAATGGTCCCACATAGTGGGTTCAACCCCGAGGGGTGACGACCCAAACGAGATGAGATCGAGAAGGTCGCGGGGGCAATCGGGGCGACGACTCCAGGCGGTGAGCCACACTTCAAGCTGAGCTTTGGCTTCCTCCTCGTCAGGATCGAGACAATTCCCGGCCTTCTCAATCGGTGTCTGCCATAGTCCCAGAACTGCGGCCGCGACTTGCCAACCAGGCTCTCGAACGACACGGCGCAAGGCCTTCTCCGGTCCCTCTGACTTAAGGAGAGCAGCCCATTCCTGGGAGGTTACTCCTTGGGCTCTGGCAATTTCACCGGGACTCAAGGTACGAACCCCCCCGGGGGTGCTAGGGATCAGAGTAGCCCCTGGGCCTTTGAGATCCTTAGTGGGGCCTAAAAAGGCACAAGCCGGGCCGGTGGTGTGATGAACCAAGAACTTGGGGGGGAAATCAGGGCCTCTAACGTGCCCGTACGGATGCGGCAGCCATGGGTCCCCGGTCGTGATTATGTTCGGCTCTTGAGTCACCACACCGCTAAGATGACGAGGAGCAGCTTTGTCCTCCGGATCTAGCGGGATAAGTCGCATGGCTGGTGGGGGATGGACTCGATGTTGCTCTATCCCTTCCGGGGGCGGTGACATCTCATTTGCCCAACCAAGCAGGAGCGTTCTTCGGCGTGCGCTGAAAGCCCCAAGATGCGAGCTAACGTACGAGACCGATCTGAGGTTGGGGAGGATCTCCTTAATACCAAGAGCAAGCTGAGAAGTATCTAACTGCCTCGGGCAGTCCACCACCAGTTTGCCGAGCCGTGTGAGGTGGACTTGTCCATCAGAATGAGATTAAGTGACCACATCACTTGTGATTTTCACTTTATTTCCAATTTCACAACGATTGTTGTCTCGTTGAGAAACGATCGTGCATGAACACTTCGTGCGGTTTTTGGGAAACTCTTTTGAACCTGATTTTTAACGATTGGGTTTTCATGAACTTTATTCTTTGATGATCAGTTGTCAACATGTCTCCCGCGCACGCTCCTTCAAGCACATGAGTGCAAATTTTTGTTGAGCCTTGGGGCCCCTGCGTGAGTGCGGTCTCGACGTGCGTCGGTGCTCCCGGCAGTGGTGGCAGTTCCGGGTTCGTCCTGGGCTGCGAGTCGGAGTGAGATACACCGGACACCCGAGGCCGCCACTCCGCAACACGTTGCATCTAGAAAGGTTCTGGGTGCTAACCGTGGGGTTCTAGACGTCTAGTTTCCTCGGCTCATGTCGGACTCCGCTCGAGCAACTGCAGAGGACAATTTGGCGGGCGAACTGGCTGGCCCAGGGACAGTGCGGTCTTTTGCTTCGCCTGTGTCCGGGTTTATCTCTGACGTATTTCCGACAAGCGCGACTACACGCAGTCACATTTCGTCGGAGAGCGATAGCGATGCTCATCGGCTATCTGACCTGTTTCCTGGCGGTGCTGAGGTAGCTGCTGCGGACTCATTGCCTGGGACTCTGGAAACTTCTGGTTTGACTGCCGATGGTTCCGGCTTCGCTTTGGATGACCTTGATGATGCCCCGAACGGGGGCCTTCATATCTCTTCGGCTGGCTCCGCGCTGGACTACGTGAATGACTCTGCGGATGCGGAGTTGTGGCAAAGGCTCTCAGCCTTAGAACGGCCCGCTTTCGGCACCAACTCTGGTGTGACTGCTGACGTTTCTTCTCGGGATGACGAAGTGGAGGTTGCTGTGGAGTCGCCTTCCTCCGCGATCTTGCAGGCTGAAGCTTTTGGCCGCGGCTTACAGGGACTTACTGCACGCTCCCATCGTGTTTGGTCCTGTGCCCTTTCCGGCGAGGCTTCCATCGTTATGAATGGTGTGCCAACTGCGACCATTGGTTGGCGGGGCCAAGATACCCTTTCAAAGTTACGACACGTTTCCGCGGGCGGATAACTCTTTCCACCTAAACTCCAAGGTTGTTTTATTTGAGGGAAATCCTTCGCCCTCAAAATGGCGACAACCGCGAACCGTTTAATTGCATGATTTCAATCTTTTAAATTTGTGTGAAATCATGATTTTATCACACAAATGTTTTTATACCTGTCTGGTCTTTGCATGCAGTTCTTTTCACGCATGTCTCAGTTCCGAATGTTTAATGCACCGGCAGTTTGTAGCTCAAGTGGCTTTGGGAGCCACAAAGAAAATTTTTGTCCGTAGCCATTTTGGCTCAAGCCATTTTGGCTCAAGGGGCTCGAGCAGCAGGCTTCGCGCATTGCTGTTCTCGAGGCTGCGGTGCTGGCCCTTCGCGGCGCTGACCCTAATCCCTAACCTGCCTCAGCCGATGCCCTTGCTTTCCGGCGGACCCCCAACCCTGGATAGTGCCACGCGGCCTCTTGAGGGTCGCCTCTTTTCCAGGGCTCCGCTACAATTTTGAGCTCAGGAGGACATCGTGCTAGAAAGCTCAGCGCTGTGCCCCGCAGTCTTGCGTGTTGCCTTGATTGCACATGTTGCAAGCCTTCCAAAACTTGGCTGAGCTTCGTCATGCAAGTTTTGTTTCAAGCTGTTGACCCAGGCTTTCTTCTGCCATGGAATCCTTTGCGGCCGATTCCTGTGAATTAAGGGGTTCTACGGCCCAGGAACCTCCGCAGGAAGCCCCGGCTGAACCAGTCCCTATTCAGCCAGAGCCAGACCAAAACTCTCATCTTTCAGAAGGACAGCCTCGTTGCGAAAGCCCCGTCCGGTTGGAGGACGAACAAGGCGATCTCGAGTTTCAACAACATCTTGACGATTTGCTGTCCCGGGCTGGAAGTGACGCGAGGGACCAACTTGATCTTCAGGAGGCTGATGACGGCGCCTGCTTTGGAGTGAGTGGCTGGAGCGATCTCGGTTCCGCAGCCGAGGAAGCTTGGTACGGCGATGTGCGCCGGCCTGCCAGTGATGAAGCTGAGGCTTCAGTGTGGTCAGT